GCAACATGAGACAAACTGTGCGTGTGAGGCCAGTTGGGACGACACTTTGCAGCACGCGGACGACTTGGGCCACTGTGATGGCCGTGACGTCCTTGCCGCACCATGGCTATTTCATCCCATTGCTCTAGTATGATCGTCGCTAAGGGGGTGGTCGGGGCCATGAGTAGGACATTGCGGCACGTTGCGACCTCGACCTAGGCATACTCTCCCACGAGGCGGCGTTTACTGATGGCTGAGCAAGACAGAAAGCAGGCAGAGTTGGCTTGCCTTCTCGGCTACGATCCCATGTATGAGAGAAAGTGGGAACGGCATCTAGAAGGGATGGGAAGATGCCCGCCATGGGTTGTCATCGTCGCAGACTGTCTCGTCTTGCCCCCTTCTTGCCTATGCGCGTAGCAAGAGAGCCGTGGGATCATGGAAACAACTCATCTGACATCGGACACTCTCAGATCTATATAATGTTGATGATCCCGCCTGTCATCCCAACTCTCTTTTCTTCCCTCCTCAACCAGCAGCCAACAAACATCCTTCTCTACTCTTCAATCTTTCAGTTCTGTGAACTTTTTTACGTTCTCGACACTCTTTCTTGTCCTGATCCAACTACACACCGCTAGCCGGTCTATTACAATCTTTTTTCCAACTTTTAACTTCTAAACCCCGTTCGATTCTTCGACACCCAGTAAACGTTGCTTCAACCAACCCTTCACAACCTCAAATCAGCAAACATGTCTTACTCTAAGATCCTTCTCATCTCCGCCGTTCTGGCCGCTGTCGAAGCCCGCTTCGGCCAGGAGCAGGTCCCCGTTCAAGCCGTCTCTTCTCTGCAGGCTGGCAACCCCGGTGAAGCCGCCACCCTCGCCGGAGGCATCCCGGGTGTTCTCCTCGCCGCCGCCGACCCCTGCGACAAGTTGACTCTCGCCGACAAGATCGCCGCCCTCGGTACCGGTGCCGACGTTCTCGAGGCTGCCAAGGGTGTCGTTGCCGCCGAGCAGAACTTCAACCCCTTCGTCGTCAGCGTCCCCAGCATCTGCGGCGATGCCTCTCTCCCCGCCACCGAGGCCCTTCGAGGCATCGTGCCCCTCGTCGACCCGGCCGTCACCGGATCCGATGCCGAGAACGCCAACTCGGCCACTTCTCTCCAGAACCCCTTTGACGCCACTGGTCTGTCTGTCGCCGAGGTGATGCAGGCTCAGGGCTTCTCCAACTTCACCGTCAAGGGCCAGGCTGCTGGTGGTGCTGCCGCCGGAGGCAACGCCAACGCCGGCAACAACAACGGCAATGCCAACACTGGTAACGCCAACACCGGTAACGCCAACAACAACCAGAACAACGGCAACAAGAACAACAACAACAATGCCGGCAATGCCAATGCCAACACCGGAAATGCCAACGCTGGAAGCTCCTGCGGCGGTGCCGCCAGCGGAAACGCCGGCGCGAGCAACAACACCGGTAACGCCAACACTGGCAACGCGAACAACAACAACAACAACAACCAGAACAACAACCAGAACCAGAACACCGGCAACAACAACGCCAACAACGGCAATGCCAACACTGGAAACGCCGGCAACGCCAACAACGGTGGAGCTGCCACTGGTGCCGCTGACTTCGGAAAGTGCACTCCCACCATTGACTTCCAGCTTGGCCGTGCTGGCCGCAAGGCCGACGAGGGAACCTTCCTGCCCACCGACGCCCTCGTTGCCCAGGGCCAGCAGGATGCCCTCAACCCCAACATCATCATCAACCGCGTCTGCGATCAGCTCACCAACGTCTGCGAGGCCAACGATGCTGCCAAGACCCAGTGCCTGGACGCCAAGGCCCAGATTTTGGCCTCCGGTGACAAGAGCGCAGCTGTTGCCACCACCTTCAACGGTCTCCTCGGATTCTAAGCGAAGAGGTAGCTGGCGGACTAGGGAGTCCTCAAGGGATTTGTTTTCTTTTGTCTCTATAATTTTCATACCGGTCTAAAAATACCGAGGAGCACGGCATATGTATCTTACGACAAAAGGCACTCTGGAGCTTGATTTCACATGGCTGGGTTTGGCTGTCTTTGGATATGGTAGCTGGGTGTTCACGAGTAGGATGTTTGAATAAATTGGCTTGCCCGAACTAGTGTTTCACCTCATGAAGTGTACTCGCTGCGATACACTCTCCGTGAAGCAACTTGCGTCTTCTCGTTTACTCCTTAACTTCGTATATCCTGGCCTATGTGAGTTGTTGGGCTGAAGAGCTCTCTTGACTTTGAAATCGTCGGTGAAGCTCGGTGAGATTAAGCTTCAGCGGGCCCACGTGCCAAGCGAGATGAAGAAGCACTGGCTCTGCAGACGGTGCCCCTTTAGCGCGAAATTTTGTTGTCTCCTTTGACGAATGACTCGGCTTGGTCAAGTGGCTCTTACCCACTCCTGAACCCCTCTCACCGACAATTTGTGAGCTGTGAAAAAGGTTGAAAGGTTCCAAATGTTGTGTTGACGGCAAAATGTTTGACAGGGGTTTTGTGTGAACTTTTACTGCTGTTTCCCCTCAGGAAATGGTCAAGAGAAAGGTTGAGTGAGCAATTAAGAGGTGACGACAACAAAACCAAGTCGGCCTTGGCTGCGCAGATCTATCGGACTTGGCAATCGCGATTTCGAAAGTTTAATCTATTTGCCGGCTCGGCGTCCAACGGTGCTGACAGACTCCTGGTTGAGATGTTAACACTCACAATGCCACAATCTGCGACGAATTCTCGTCAACGCTACCAGGATGAAGCTAATTCATCCAAGAGCGGACTCCGGGCACTCTTGCCACCTCTCAACTTCATAACACTGCATTATGCCTACTTCATCGGCACGACCCTCCTCGCATCGGCAATCTTTTACGGCTCGTCGAATCCACGCGGCAGCATCAGCTATGTAGACTCGCTTTTCCTCGTCATCTCCGCCATGACGGAAGCCGGACTCAACACGCTCAACCTCAGCGAGATGACTGTGTGGCAACAGGTGATGCTGTGGCTGCTTATTATTATCGGTAGTTCTGTTTGGGTATCGATATGGACGGTCGTGGCGAGGAAGCATGTCTTTGAAAAGAGCTTGCGGGCGGTCGCTCGTGCCCAGAAAGAAGGAAGCCGGCAGGATGGGGGCCTGTCAGTGTCAATTAACAATATCGCTGCGGCTCAAGAGAAAGGAGCTGCGAGTGGCACCGGCTTGATGGACGTAGAGACATCGACTCAACCTCAAGCCGCGGGTAATCACATTACCATCGAAACCACAGGAAATATCACCCGCCGTTCAATAACTTCGACCCATTCAGACAAGACACCTACTCGACCTTGGCTGTCCTTTCTCAGCGCTTCCAAAGAGGGCCGCAACTCCCAGTTCCACTCCCTCACGGGACCCGAACGCTCTTGTCTAGGAGGTCTCGAATACCGGGCCCTTCAACTGTTGTCTATCGTGGTCCCGCTGTATTCAGTGCTCTGGCAAGTACTAGGAAGTCTTGCTCTCGGAGCCTGGATCGCGAACAATATGCCGACAGTCGCAACATCCAACGGTGCAAACCCGTGGTGGGCCGGCATATTCTTCGCCGTCTCAGCATTCAACAATTCGGGGATGTCATTGCTGGACGCCAACGTAGTGCCCTTCCAACAGGCATATTTCGTGCTCATAACCATGGGCTTACTCATTCTCGCGGGCAACACGGCCTACCCGCTGTTTCTGAGGCTCATCTTCTGGGCAGCATTGAGAATACTTCGAGTGACGACCGCCGAGGAAACGTTGGTGGAGCTCAAGAGCACATTGGAGTTCATCCTGAAATACCCGCGTCGAGTTTATACCAATCTTTTCCCGTCACGACCGACGTGGTGGCTCTTCTTCATGGTCCTCATGACGAATGGTATTGATTGGATGGCATTTGAGGTTCTCAATATCGGTAACCCAGTTATCGAAGCTATTCCTGCTGGGGCTAGAGTTCTGGACGGCTTATTCCAAGCGTTAGGTATGTCACTATCTACACTCCTGTCGGAAAAAGACAACTACTGACTGCGTTTTAGCTGTCCGCTCTGGAGGCTTCTACGTCATCCCAATAGCCTCTGCCTATCCCGGGCTGCAGGTACTGTATGTTATCATGATGTACATTTCCGTGTACCCTGTGGTGATTACTATGCGACACTCCAACGTCTACGAAGAGCGGTCTCTAGGGATCTATGACGATGATAAGATGTCTCCAGTCTCTTCTCACCCGGACGAGAAAAGGGACCCTAGCGGTACCGGGATTTTGACACACTTCCTACGAGAGAATTTAAGCTTTGCTGGTGTTGGTGCTGCAAAAAGCGAGAAGAGAGGCAGCGGATTTGAAACTCGAATGAGTTTCGTGAACCAGCAAATCCGTGGTCAACTCGCACACGATCTGTGGCTTCTCGCACTGGCTGTTCTGATTATCGTAACTATAGAGACGTCACACTTCCTGGAAGATCCGGTGCACTTTTCAGTCTTCAATGTCATTTTTGAAGTGGTTTCGGGCTACGGCTGCGTTGGCATATCTGTTGGACTTCCTAAAGATGCCATGAGTTTCTCTGGAGGATGGCATCCCGGGAGCAAACTAGTCTTATGTCTCGTTATGTTGAGAGGGCGTCATCGAGGTTTGCCCGTAGCCTTGGATAGGGCTGTGCGATTACCTGGACAGAGGCTATTGGAGGAGGAAGAGGAAGATTGGAGACTGAGAGGGGCTAGAAACAGGCATGAAGTGGAGTAAATGGCTTCAAAATGTAAAAGTTAAGTATACATCTTACATGCACATATGCAGAGGAACAGTAATGAATCGGAGAGACCTTCAAAGGATGTCTATCTCTGTCAGCCTTGCGCGGGCGTAATTGTACATTTAGACCTGCAAAGGAACCTTTGTTGCAGGATTCGAAACGTTTCTTAAGCCCGTATTTCTATGAAACTTTAGGGTGACGCACATAGCCGTCTGTCGTTTGTGTACACTGCTACCATAGGCTGGGTGGATGTGTACGACTACCCATGTCTCTTCTGTACACATGGAAGCCGGCATTCGGATCATAGGCACGAAAAACGTTCACCCTAGCATACACGTCTTCCCGTCGCCTGCAGCGGCAAGTCCATCACATCGTATGATGCGGTTTAGCAGCTAGTCTCCAAGAGATCAAACCAGGGCTTCGAGGAGCCGCACATTCTATGGCCGCTGGCGAGCAAGAGTTATTGCAGCTGAGCATGAGTGGCGCGTCGATTTTGGTCATTCATCGGTTGTTTTGAGACGGAAATTATTCCTTCTAACAATTCTTCTTCTCAAATGATGTGATAGATCATTAGTTTGATCTTTACTAATGTATCACTCCCAATTTACGCAAACAATATCTCATCTGAGCTAGAACATATTTGCTGGTCACTCTCAGACTTAGGTCATGGATTATTTATTCAATGCATGCATTCATTTTGTCCCCTCGTCCAACGACTCTGGTCTGGTCTTTCGGCCAAATATGACATGGCTATCTGTAAATGCTCCATCTCCTAGAACAAGCTCCCTCTGACTTATCATCCCCCTTTCTCCCGAAATTTGCAAGTCTCATTCCTGTGGCGCACGAGATTATCATATCTTGTAAATTCAGTCCCGCAGTCAGCGCACGTGTACTTCTCCACGTTTTCCCTTTTCTTGTGAGTTACGTCACGATGCCGGTCTAAATCTTTCTCGGCAGCGAATCTCTCTATGCACTGGCTTGGAAATGCTCCAGGCATGTAAAAAAGACACTGAAAAGGCCTCAGGTGCTTGTCTCGATGTCTCCTGGATTGCGTTATTACATTTCCTGGGCTGCTGGAGCCCACAAGAATTACTCACGTGAGGTTCCTAGGCTCTTGAAATACCTCCCCACAAAACTCGCACACATGTTGGATCTCATATGCCATTTGGGCAGCCCGGGCCGTTGCTTCTTCATCAGTCATAGCTAATCCCACCGGAACCTGCGAAAGCCGCTGATCAAATTGGGGGTTTCTTCATGGCGACAATCCAACCCCAGGAGCCTAGAGCCCTGAAGATGTGGTTCCGGAAGGATGGCCAAGAGAGGCGAAGTGATGATCTTGGATAGTTGGGGCAGGCCTGTGGAAAGCATTGGGTGGACCGAGTGTGCCATGAGATGCTCAATTAACTTCGTACAGGTCTAGGTCGTCCTCAGGGAGAGCCTCCAACTGCCACGCTGTGCAATAAGAATACGAATTGTCCTCTGAAACCCCATTTTCAAGTACCACGCGTCGCATTACGGCGAATATCAGCCCTGTTGCACACATATGGGGGTCAGCAGAGCCCCCGTTCAGGATAGACGAGTGTACATACACCCACGGCCTAATATGTCCACAGCGTAGGTCAGAGCAGCCCTACTGTTGGTGAACAGATGATTTCACATCGATTCATTCAGTTCTCTGGGTTGAGTCAGTGGTCACTCGTGAGAAAGGCCTCCCGCAGTAGCTGATCTTATAGGGTGGTAGCACATACTAGAGCAGTAATGTCCAAGTGATTTGGGAATTCGATATGTGAGGTATTGGTGAAGATAGCAAAGCCCAAAACCCCCAGGGAATCGGTCTTTAAATGTGCGCAACACAGCAGCCTTTTCAGTGAAGTCCCCGTTCCCTCCTGCGGACCGCAGTCGGCACGTGTAAGATCTGTCCTCACAAGCTGTCGCGTAATCTTTGCTCTGACCAAAGTGGGTCGCTCACTGCAGGTGTGATGCCATGCACTGATAGATGTTGTAGCAAAATCAATGCCAGGGACTATGTTGGGATCGCTCGTAGTCTCCTTCAATAGCTGTTGATGGTGTTGTCAGCCTGCCTCGTGATAAGCAAGGGAGTAAAGTATCGCAAGGATGCTCAACCAACCATTTGTCGCTACAGCACGAAAGCGCACAGTGATTGTTATCTGCTTCTTTCTGTTGGGCTAGCTCAGAAAGCCTTGGAGTTGGCCTCCGGCATTAGTTTAAAAGATGTGCATGAATTTCAGCCAATTAGTGCAAGCCTTGCGTCGAAGGGGGTGTGGTTTGGGGTGCATCCGAGGTGAACCCGGTGCGACTGACTTGTCAGTTCATTGACTGGAAGTCATTGTTCAGCATAGTCAATGGTCTAGGTGGAAGGTAAAAAGTACGGTTTTAATAAACTTCAGGACAGGATTGCTGGGCGGTGATAACGTCAGGTGGGAGCCACTCAAGCAGAGAGGGCAGCATCATTTTGACCGGGCTAACTCTGTCCTGAAAGCGCAAAGGCATCAAAAGGCGGAATCTAGCGTAGATGAATGCAATACTTAGATGCCGAAATCTTACGAGGTCATTGAAAAAATAAATAAATGTGAATATTTGTGTCGACCGATTACCGGCACCCAGAGTAATTATAGAAGAGACTTGGGAGAGCTAGAAATGCTAGAGTGGAGTTCGAGGCAGTGACGTGATAGTCAACATCTAAAATTCATGAACGCGCACTATGAATAGAGATATACAGCAATGTAAACGCATAATCCAAATGATGAATCCTTCGCAAATGTATCAACGCTCTAGCCTCTTAATCAATGCTGCTTCTGCTGATGGCGGTGCAAGTTATCGGCCCTTGTGAACGTTTCGGTGCACTCAGGACAGTCAAATTCACCCCTTCCAATTCCATGAGTGGCCTTGTGTCGGTCCAAACTCTTCTTATCCGCAAACTTCGCAGTGCAGTTCTCAACTGGACAAGCGCATGGCCTGCTATGCTTCCTCATGTGTCGACTGAGATTCTAATGTCAGATATACCGTGCAGGCATGGAAGCAGTGAGATGTATGAACTTACTTGAGCTCATGCTTCTTCTCATAGCTTCTGGTGCAGTTTGGGTTCCCGGTACAAACGTACGGGAGTTGACGCGGTTGTTGTGGAGGATTCAATTCAAGAGGCAGACTGGCGGGGTTATGGGGGGTCTGTACCGCCTCCTGAGCGTACATTTCGGCGTCCATATCGTTCCAGACTCCTAGTCCCTGTGATGATCCGTGGTGGGAATTGACCCTGTGTGGAGATCCACCCCGAAGCGCCTAAAGCGCTTGAGATGCGGGTTCAGAAGACTGATAATCAGATTGGGCGGCGTAATAATCTGGGCTGAATGAGCTCGTTTGTGTGTGAGGTAACAGTGAAGGATCGATGAAATCGTCAGAAGTAGGGGCGTAGGCGTTGTTTATGTAACCACCTGTGGTTGACAGCCAACCCCTTGGCTCATTGGCCCCAGAATAGTCGTGGGTTACCCGAGGGGTTCCGTGGTGTTGAGGCTCCCGACGCATGACAGTATTTGAACTTGAGCTTGTTCTCTCGGGGCAGTATCTAGTACTCAAATGATTCTATTGGCTCTCTGCTTCGTATTTCTGTACGTGACCTAGAGCAAACTTGGTTTAACATTAGCAGTGGTGCCTTGACTTCTAGGAGATGACAAACCTCTTGGTGCCCCAAACAAAGCTCAGAATTACCAAAACAAACAATCCTCGTCCGGGGATAAATATTGAATTCAAGCTGACGAGGTATCGTTAGCGCTGGCCTCCCGTAGTGTTTCCGCGGTTCCACAGCGGTGAATACATGTATCATTAACTACCTTAGAACCATAAAGGTTGACCCCCAATTCAAAGAAACGTTGTGGAAAAATGTCAGTACTCACATGTTTCTTAATACAGGTTGATCTTCCGGAAAATATGAGTCTTCTCAAGCAAGTTGAGATGATACAGCGATGGATGGTGTGCATGCAGTACCATGCCAGGAGAAGAAGACTGCGCTCAACTCGTTAGGTCAAACATGAAAGCGTGAAGAATGCCATCTGCGGTGGATTTGACCAGAAGTCGAGGCCCCTTTTAAAGTATTTCGATCTTTCAGAGAACAAATATCTATGTACTTTCGATGGCTTTCATTAGAAGAACTCGGCTTTGACACTTCTTTCTTTTTCTTCCAATTTCTCTTGACATGCTCGTTACCTACTCTCACCTGTAGCGAATCATTCCTCGCCTGACATTCGACCCGAGCGGCACTACTCGCGCATACTGCCAAAACTGGCTGGAGTATGATTGACTATCCGTCTAACGTACGTCGTCTTAGTGGAAATAGAATTCGGTGAACTTGTCGCGTTCGGATGGCTTGATGAGATGGGGCGAATGTACTCTGCAGCCCGTTGCAGGTCAGGATGCGGGAGGCCAACCATCCCCACGAGCACGTTGACCAATTAGCATGGAGTGGCAGGCTCTACTGACGCCTCAAAGTTGTTGGAACATTCAGGCGACCGGTTTGCTGCCTAACTAGATAACCAACAGAAGATATTCAGGGTGACATCAAGATGCCTTGTAATATGCCTCGAAGCACGGTACCAGCCTTGGGCATTAAAAGCAGTCGTTCCTTCTGGCTCGCATGGCACCATCGTTCAACAGCAAGACCCGACATGTCGTATGGACCTTAGGACCAACCATTGCTCAGAACCTCGATTGTTGGCCTCCGCGGCCTCCCACTTTTTATGCAATCAGCTGCGCACTAGTGACTCTAGACCAATGGGTGTGGCTGCAAATTGAACAGCTGGCTATCAGCAAATCCATGGGATATGTTGGTAAGGCTAGCACCCTAAGGTCGCGAGTTGGCGACTAACGCATATGCGCGCGGGACTTCCTTTTCCGACTCTTTTGTCAAGTTTTGCGCTAACTCGGCGATGGTCGTCCGCCTCGGGTCGCTGTCAGTGCTTTGAAAGCTAACATGGGTCCCATGCGTGAGTTCTTGTGTACTTTGCTTAAACAACCAAGATTTTCCTCAAATTTGAAAGAAAATTACGCGTCGTTCATGTTCAATCGGTGCGGATAGCGGATACAGCTAGCTCTTCACTTGATATATTGCGAGGTACCTACCTTGGCAACGTACTATCTGAATCCGATTAGGTTCCTTCTCTTAGCTTCATTCAAATGGCCAAAGGGAAACTCATGACACGAAGTCCTGCTAGGGGATCGGGGAAAAGTGAGAAATCCTCATCCTAATTCTTGTGAAAGCCTCGACTAACCTGATACCACATTGACAGAGATGGTGACGGCCGACGGCCTGGATCACCCCATCAGTCTAGAGCTTTGCAAAAGGCTGAACAGATTCTACGAAGCCTTGATACTGCTTTCAAGTCTGATGCAGGCTTGTTCGCGCAATGGACAACAGCCGAACAAAGCTCCGAGCGATGTCTCTGAACCAGGCGATAATTATAGAATGACTCATGAATGCTTAATGAATAAGCTGGCGCAGATTTGCGACAATCGGCGTGGAGGCGAGACTGTCACATCTGTGGCCATCATCCAGTTACCTGACAGTCTGGTCTATACCTTTGCATCCAACCAGAGGTCTCCTATAGAGATCAAGGAAGCAGAGACATTTCTTCTAGATCTCTTTGAATACTTGAGTCACACAAGTGCAAGTTCATCGGTTATTATGGAAGATGCCACTTCGACACAGGCCCGCCATGTACTCGAAAAGATTTTGGCCTTCAATCACGAGCGAGTCCAGTGCTATCGCATTGGTCTGGCTCATGGACTTACTAAATGCATTGAAGATTGCGATAGGTGTGGATCTGTGCATGGTGAGTATCTACCTTCAAACACGACTGGCTCTTCTAATGCCCCTAGAAGATATTTCGGTCAAACAAGCATTGCTGAGGCTTCAAAGCGTGGCTGACAGCTCAACAACATCGGCTGGAAACATCTCCCCTTCAGGTAACGATTCGAACTCTTTAACATTAGAGTCCTTGTGAAGAATTCCCGGTTAATTTTACAGTCGCAGAGAAAAGCTCGCAAGACGATGAAGCACTTGTCCGGGCGGCTGCAGACCTTCGGCAATCAGTAATTTTCCATTCCATCGTCGACAGAGGAAAGCTGGGAAGGTTTGACGAATCACCGCATTGGGCTGAACTGCAACATTTCATCGGTCGACTTGTCTCTTACTTGAGAGCAACTCAGACTATCTTCGTAGCACGAAGGCGTCATCCAGAGCTGTTCGACACTGACAGCATCAAGATCAAGTTTATCACCTCAAGCAGGCCAATGCCCAATCCGATGAACGCGTTCCAGGCCGGCCTTAACACTTTGCAAAGACAAACAGTTCGCTCCGCACATGATATAATACCGCGAATGACGGGAGATGTCGGGATGATTGAGACTTACAGTCAATACGCGGACGAACTGCAAGTTTGCAAGCTTGATGAGCTAATTGCAGCTCAGTGCTGCAAATCTAACCCAAAAGGTTTCCGACCGATTGTGCACAGTGAAGTCCTTCTTCTCGACTGGCTACGCAAACAGTTTGCAGAGGACACTCACTCCATCCCTTTCTATGAGGGTAACAAATACATCGGTTGCAGCAAGCCCACCTGTCGACTTTGCGAGTACTATTTCGCTGCTCACAGCAGCGGTGTCAGAGTTCGCTCGCCTCACCGCAACGTATACCGAAACTGGGCTGTTCCCGATGCTTTGGTAGAGGGAGACAGCTCACGATACAAAGACAAAATGATTGATGCGGTTTTGGCAAAGGTCCGCGAAGATGCCCTCACTGCGCTTAGGGAGAAAGTATGTGTGAGGAAGAGATTCGACTCTAACACGTACTCGTCGATGCCAACATGTCAGTCGCTTACTGGCATCCCAGACACCCTAGATGACCTGTCGTCCCGGATCGGAGGCTTGTCCATCTCGTCGCACGTGCACTCACGCGTTCACCCGTCTGTCGTGAAGAGCATACCCGTATCGAGCAACATTGAAGACACTCGTAGCGTCACTGCTCACGAAAAAAACGGTGGTAGCGATGATGAAAGTGGTGGTGTACTGGTCTTCGCTGGTCGCAACAGGCGTCCCTAGAACCCGTGTTGTGTCGTTGTCACAGCGCTGTCCCAAGCCCTTTCGTGGCTCTGCTAGTGATAACATCAAAGCTCCAGCCTCGACCGGTCATTCATAAAATTAGCTTCTCTCTTTTGACGATGCTTCAAATTACATGAGCCACCTGATGTATCTCTCATTCTTAATGCAACTTGTGAATGAATGCCGTTGACGACCTCAGGTTCCTGTAAGCCCCTGCAGTGAACAAAGATCGAAAGTAAGTAGTGCCGCCTTCCTGAATAGGAACTTGAAAACGTAATAGGTTGCCAAGCTGAATTTGCGCCCTAAATCTTGTCTGTATTCGCTCGACGGAAACGCGTCATCTTGGTCTATTTTTCGACTCTATTCCGACAAAGAGTGAAGAGGTTGCTTGTCGCACAATTTACGAAAACACATCACATCACGCGTTGTTATGTGTCCTTCTTTCCTCTCCGATGGCTTCGTCGACGGGTGGAATTCCCACCGATTTTGGCTGCGCCAAGCATCGTATTGCGAGACTATTGCTTGCTAGCGCCCTAGCATGCTCACATAAGCTTGGAGGCTCACCGACTCCACATCGACATCAGCTTGATGCGACTGACCATTAACACAGAAGATTGTGAGCGCGGATGGAGCCTTAAGAGGCAGTTGATACAACCTTGGATCACCGGCCCGGGCTTCCAATGAGAGAATGCACGACACCGATGGGTTGGAGTCCGGGGTATAATGCGGTGCCGCGGGGGTCTTGAAAACGCCATCGACTCGACGAATGCCTCTCCGTGTTCAGTCCCCCTGGCCCGGCCCGCGAGCGGGGGAAACGTTGAACATTTGGCGACCGCCAAGTTCCATTGTGAGAGGTCAACGTTTTCTAGCGGACCTGAGGAAAACGCATGAGTGACGCCACGGCCCGCATCTATGCTACTGCACAGTGGCATCCTCTGTGCCCGGGTCGCATGAAATTTCAGCTGAGTGTAGTGGGATCGAACCACACACAACCTGGGCTTCTGCGGCCAAGAGCCTGGCGCAACTCAACACGAAAATTCGGCATCTTGACTGTATTCTGGATGGCATATAATATGGAGGTGCTCCGCCGGTCGTCGCAATTTTCGGTCATCAGCTCATCTGGTGGACAGATGGTCGCCAAGGACGCCCATTCATACATTCGTTACCAACAACTCGAGACAGACGCTGAGAGATTCGCACAAGATGGTGCAATTTCAGGCTCACAGTATCTTGGCCGGGGCCTACGGGGTAGTAGCTGCTGTTGCCGCTGCCTGTACATCTGATCTTCTCGTGGATGACTTCTCCAGCTCATTCACAACGAACAGAAATAATATGGGCTCATGGACTTCAGGTAAGATACCACGAATTCATCGGGAGCGTCCGAAACTTCGGGTGGAATTACCAGTGGATCTCCACAAAGCAGCTGTCCAAGAGTCTCAAATGACCAACATGACGTTCGATAGATGATGCGAGCATGACCAGCATCTCCGCGGCTGGTGGTATCCTAAGCTTCACTCCGAAGAGCGGAGCTTACTACTACGAGACATTCCCCTGCCAAGCAATGCAGACCGACTTGTACACACACGTCCAGCTTGACATCAAAGCACCAGTGTCAGGGGCAGCCTTCACTACCGAGTTGAACTCCGCCTCAAGCTGCTCAGCGACGACTAGTTCTAAAACGTCTTTCCGAGTCACAGGCCTAACCGGCGGCTGGCAGACGCTGCGCATCCCATTGAGTAGCTTTGCTGCCGGAAACCTCAATGCCGCTTTGTCATTTGTCCTTGGGTCGTTTTCGTCCACCCAAGAATGGCAGCTTGACAAGATCTCGTTTGTCTGTGCTCAGGGGTCATCAGCAACCTCGACTTGTAAGTGATAACTAGTCGGGCTGGGATCAGTCCGGAAATCATCCCGCTTACTGCTGACATAAACCTCACAGTCACTACGATTACGACGGTTACGCAGGCCCCTACAAGCTCGGTGCCATCTCCGACCCAGTCAAACAACCCAGCTTGCTCGGCGCTTTTGGTAGATGACTGGGCGTCACAATCACGCCTTGATTTCTTGCAGTACAACTCACTTCTACTGCCGACAGGAGATGACGGAACAATGCAGTCCAAGGTTGTCAGCAATCATCACATCACACTGACACCAAAAGACACTTCTTCATACTTCTTCACTCAGGTCGGATGCTTGGATGCTTCGAAGTACGGTGGGATCTCACTCCGGATCAATGCCCCGGCTGGAACAACCTTCAAGATCGAGTTGACTTCCAAGACGACGTGTGAGGGCGAGGTAACAGCGTATTCATCTCAGACGACTGCACAATTGGGCTGGACCTTTGACGGAACCGAGAAGCTCTACAGCTTCCCCTGGTCAAAGTTCAGCGGAGTCAATCTCAGCAAACTGCGATCCATCGTTCTCGAAGCGCCGACTCGGCCCATCACACTGGGCTCGCTGGCACTTTACTGCGGAAGCACCCCAACTGGTTGGGTAGTGCCCATGGCCACCACCCCAACAGGGCCAACTCAAACCGTCCCGGCACCAGCTGCTACGGTCTCTGGGCTTGTGATTGACACCTTTGCCAACGCAAACACGAATTCGCTTGGGTTCTGGCACGGTGGCGATGAGTTGGGTCTTACTTGGGGTTCGAACCGCGTTACAATCGTCGCCTCGGCTCCAGACTACGCCTTCACCAGTCTAATGAGCGGGGGATGTCGGGATTTGCGCAGTCAAAGTGGATCGTACTTACACATCACCTATTCGGGTCATACCAAATTCTCTATCTCATTGCAACAGCACAATTCACAATGCAATGATGGTGTGGCACCATACCCTGAAACGAGAGACAGCCTGGAAGCAAGTCGGTACGCGACCACGAGCAGCGACATTTACATCCCCATCTCGCACTTCAACATCAACCTTCAGCGTGTCGCCAGTGTAGCCATTAGGGGTATTTATAGTACTGAGCCAGTGGTCCTAACGAAGATTGAGATCGTGCCCTCCATCCCTTCAGGGGTAAGCATCCCCCAAAAGCTGCCCTCAGGAACCCTTGTCTTTGCCTGCACGCGGCCTAACTCTTTCGCGTTCGGCATCGACGATGGAAACCCAAAATATGCCGCAAGACTAGCGCAAATCATCAGCGACGCAGGGATAAAAGTGACCTTTTTTGCCGTCGGCGCAGTGCTCGAAAACCCCTCGACTGGCATGGCCAGCCTCTACCAACAGCTCAAGAGCGAGGGCCACCAGATTGCACTGCACTCCTACACTCATCCGAGAATGGAAGGACTGCCCGACACTGAGAGCATCGACTGGGAGTACAATGAAGATTACAGGGTGATGACGAACCTCTTTGGCGAGAGATCGAATTACTTCCGCCCGCCGTACGGCGTCGAAGGCGCGCGCATGCGTCAGCGCTGGGCGGCTGCCTCCAGATCAGACAAGGCGTACCTTATCAACTGGAGCGTCGATGTGCAGGACTGGTTGTGGGCCGAGACGAGCACGCCGGAGAAGCAAGTTGATTCATTCAAGGCCGACGTTGCCAAGGGAGGGAACTTGGTGGTCATGCACTTCTCGTACAACACAACAGTCGAGTACTTCCCGGAATTCATCAGACAGGCCAAGGCTACTGGTAAGCAGATTATGAGGATTGATCAGTGTATGGAGGACCCGAACGCACCTCCGCTGTGATTGCGGAGATGCCGGCGAGGAGGCGGGGATCAAGGGGGTTGAGGGAATACTGGATATTCTGACAACAGCCTTCTCATTTGTAACTTTCCTATCCATGCACGTAGCATATGACTGATAGGTGATTGATACTGGCAATTATATGAGTGCCTTTATTTCATCAGTCGGAGGAGTTGTCTACCTCGTGGAAAGTCGCCCTAGCTAGTGTGCGGAAGGGTATAGTTGAGGCCTTTATCGTGTGGTGTTGATGCCGGTGGAGCTGGTCGACTCAACAAGCCATCACCGCCCCTATCCAAGCGGTCGACCTTCCTATGAACCTGTCGACTTGTCCTTAATCGCTAGTATGCAACTCAAAATGGATTTATTCATGTGCCAGGAGTTGGAAATTGCAAACAATTGTCCTGTGGCCGGATCGTTGGCCGAGTTTGCTACAAGTTCTACGGTGGAATTGGGAAACTTGGGGTCCGCACAAGAGGGGCCGGAAAGGAGTGAGGATCCGCGCTTCAAGATGGACACGCCAATAATATGATCTAGACAAGCATTATCGAGATTACGTGATTGTATCCTTGCAAAATTGGTAGACTTTTCAATCGGTACATAAGGAAGGTAATAGGTTCTGGTTACAACAGATAGTTGATAACCTCGCCCTTTGTCGATAAAGACGTAACCGTGCAAGGTGGCAGTGCTCTTTTGAGCACATCTCCACAATCAAACGACGCTAATGCAGCCGGATGACATCTAAGCTTGGCTGTGATACCCTGCCGTTTGGCAAGGATGTTGAGTTTAAATTTTGATGCAGCTTGATGACACTGACGGCATTGCGAACTTAGCCCGCCCCTACTAGTGCTCTATTGCGCTCAAAGAATTGCCGTACCTTTTTGGCTACCAGTATATGTCCGTTCCTCGTTTATCTGGCAAAAGACCATGTTTTCAAGGTGCATGAAGTCTATGTTCTGAAGGATGAGAAGCCGATGTGCCTCCTTCAGCAACTAATCTTCAGTCAAAATTATGGGAGAGCAGTCCAGTGGCCAAATCCGAAGAAGATTGTAGGAAAAGGTTTTAAGATATGGCAATCCCAGCTTAGCGTACGCTCACTGTTGGTGACTGACCCAGTCGTAAGTTGGCGACTAGGGGTAGCCTTGGCAGCATCTGGCGATGTCAACCGAAAATGGGGCTTCTAGGTATATCGCAATCACTTTCTATTCGGACCCTCACGGCATTACCAATCATGCTTAACTCAATGAGACCTTAAGGCTTGTGGTCTGGGCTGACGCGTGGCACTTTGATGATATCGGCCCTTTCGGATGGTGAACTGCCTCATTCGAATATGACATCAACGGCGACCCACGATGGTGAATCGCAACAGAACAGTTTCCACAACGCTGGCTATAAATCAGAGTGGGAGTACCGCAAACAAGACTCAGTTTCACCCAGATCATACTATCTTCATCACCAGCTGCTGTCACTACCTTACGCGTCAAGTCACCTCAGACAAACATCATGAAGATCTCTGGAAGTAGCACTGCTGCACTCGCCCTCGCGGGCACGAAGGTAGCCGCTCAAAACCTATCTTACGGAGCCGACAACTTCTACCGCAGCGACATCGTGACGGTGCAGCCAATCACCTTCCCAACTCAGAATCAGTTCACAGTCGCTGGCAACCTCTTCATCCGCAACAATGCCAGCCGCTCACTCTCTGCCCCAGCCATCGTCGTTGGCCACCCCATGGGCGCAACCAAGGAGCAGAGCGCCAACCTCTACGCCACAAAGCTCGCCGAGCAAGGCTTCGTGACCGTCTCCATTGATGTCTCCTTCTGGGGCGGCAGCGAGGGCGAGCCACGCAACGCCGTCTCTCCAGACCTCTACTCAGAGGCCTTCAGCGCAGCAGTCGACTACCTCGGCCTCCAAGATTTTGTCGACCGTGAACGCATCGGTGGTCTGGGAATCTGCGGCAGCGGCAGCTTCGTCATCAGCGCTGCCAAAATTGACCCCCGCCTCAAGGCCATTGCGACCTCTAGCATGTACGACATGGGATCTGCCGCCCGCAACGGTCTGCGCCACGCAGTGAGCCTCGAGCAGCGCAAGGAGATCATTGCTACTGCTGCCGCGCAGCGTTGGGTTGAGGCGGCTGGCGGCGAGACTGAGTACACTGGCGGAACCCCTCACGTGCTGACCAATGCGTCGACGGCGGTTGATCGTGAGTTCTACGACTTTTATCGTACCCAGCGCGGCAAGTTCACTCCGGAGAACACGACGGCCAACCTGACGACCCACCCTACTCTTTCGAGCATGACCAAGTTCATGAACTTTTACCCATTCAACGACATCGAGACGATTTCGCCGCGCCCCTTGTTATTTGTTTCGGGCGACCAGGCTCACTCCCGCGAGTTCAGCGAGGATGCCTACGCCCGTGCTGCTGAACCAAAGGAGCTTCTTTGGGTTCCTGGTGCGGGACACGTTGATCTCTACGATCGTGTCGAGCTCATTCCCTTCGATAAGCTCACCCAGTTCTTCCAGAAGAACCTGGCTGCCAATGCAACGAGCTTGAGGGCACAGTAAGATACAGATCATGAGAGTATCAGGTTGTAGGAGCTCGCGTCTATGAGTTATAGTTCTTAATGAGATAATATCTCGATTGAGTGGCCGAGTTTTGGAACGGAAGGGAACATCTTGTGCCAGTATATTCAGGTGCTTTGGTACAAACCATGAAGTTAAGCTGGACTGCGGAATCTCTCTGCCATGGCATGTCAGGTTACATTACAAGTAGACTGTATAAAGCCCATAAGATATGGACTTACATGACTTCTTTCACATGTATCAAGAAACGTATCGTTCTCTCCGTCAATACTGTGTGTGCTGCTCGTGAGTTTCATTCCTCAGTACCAGGCCCACTTATCCCGGTCCTGAACCAGCACTGAAGGCCCCACTTTCGGTGTAATTGGCCTGAAGCAAAAAATCCAGGCGTTACCTGATTCCAAACAGACATCCCAAGTCTGAGTAGCAGACCAGACTTGTCTGAAGAAAGTTCTTTCTGTAGTTTGAAATGCTTGCATTGTCTCAGTAATCCTTTTCAATACCCTGATTCCTTTTCCTCTTCATTACTACATCACTTGTCTAGGCGACTCGCTCACCTATCACTTACCCTTCCTACAATGATATATGCAGCCAACGTAATATGCTTGTGTTTTCACTGTCATTTGAGCGCTACTTGAGCCCCATCAAGTGATTATGTATTGTTAGTCCGGCGGCTGGAAGATCAATCAAAAGGTCACGCACGGCACTTGGCAATTGCTCGGAGGAGACAACGGGACAGGCTGTTTTGGGCCTCGGTGAGGTTTCTGCACACTTGACCATCTGCGAACCAAAAGAACAACGAGCGAATATTATCGTTGCCGGCAAAGCCTGACAGCATCTTCACGCAAATTTCAACCCTTCATCCGAATTGACTTGAGCAGTTCATCACAATGACGAGGAAGGCCCATGTTGGCGGAGAACTTCCCCCGCAGCGATTGATCGCCGATCTCCCGCACATTTGGGGACACGCAGGCCCCCCCCTCATGCGGGGTAGCTGTCCTGATTGGGGAAGAAGCTGCCCCTGGCGACGAACGCCTTCGACGTCATCACCCGGTCATTGACGCCGGAGCTTTCATTCCAGCCCGGTCTGGCTCCTCCTTCCTCCTCCACTTTCACAGTTCATTGGCACTTGCCATGTCACTTTTCAGCTCTTTGCAGACGGCAGGGGCGACAGGGGTACCGTCTACGTGAGTCCGGCAGGCGGAAGGAGCTTCTTCGCCTTGGTCTTCAGCTGCACCTGCCGTCGTCATTTCGACTCCAATTGCGTTTGAAGCACGTGTGACGAGCTTCGCCCCTGTCTGTTTGTTCTCCGTCGCCGGTCCGACGCTAGCCATAGGCGAGAGGGAGGAGGCAATTGAGAATTCTTTCTTGTCCCTTCAAAATCTGCTGTTTGCTCTCTTCTAATCCAATTTTCCCATTGACCTACTACTTTCCTACTACCATCTTCCAAACTTCCTCCCTTCAATTCTCCGAGCTTTGGAGTCTTCGACCCTTCTGACTGTACACCGCTTGCCATAATAATACAATACTTTCACCAGACCGCCAACATGATGCCCGCAAGACCCCTCGTTCGCTCGACGCTCCCCAGAGCTACCCGGGCTGTCCGCGCACCCCGCCAGCAGCTCCGTTTCCAGTCGACGACCACCTCATCCTCAACAGGCGGAAGCAGCTCTCATTTCGGAGCCGGTGTCGCTGGTGGCCTTGCCGGTGCTGGTATCTTCTACGCCCTCTACTCCTTCACTCCCGCTGGTCGCGCTGCCTCGAAGGTCAACAAGGCCGCCAAGGAGGCCGAGAAGAAGTACACAGCCGCGGCCCAGAAGCTACAAGAAAACACACCCTCTACCGATGAAGCTATCGACTACATCAAGCAATTTGCTTACTCCTACGTTGGCTGGATCCCTGGTGGCCGCTCCTACGTCGACTCTGCTTTCAATGACTTCGAGACCGTCCGCAAGAACCATAAGGAAGAGGCCGACAAGATTGTTGACGACGCCTACAAGCAGTTCCAGGAGGTCGCCAAGGCCGGCCTCAGTCTCGAGGCCGTCCACAAGGCATACGAGGTCCTCGCAGACATCACCCAGAAGCTCGCAAGCCTTGGAGGTGACGCCATTGGGGACATCGTCGACAACCACCCCCAATTGAAGGAGAAACTCGGAGGAAACATTGACCAGCTCAAGGACTTGGGAGACAAGTATGGTCCGGAGGCCAAGAAGCAGGTCGACGAGACATGGAAGCAAGTCAAGGACGTCTTGGCTGGCGGCTTCACTGCCGGCAATTTCGACAAGGTGCGCAAGCTCATTGAGGAGAAGATTCAACAGGTTCAGAAGCTCGGTGATGAGGCTTGGAAGAAGGCGCTCGAGGAGGCCAAGCCCTACCTTGACAAGAATCCCAAGGTCAAGGAGCTGATTGAGAAGAATGCCGACGCGCTCAAGAAGGGCAACGCCAAGGAGCTCTTCGAGAAGGCGAAGAAGGCTACCGAATCCGGAGACCTCGGAGGCCTCGAGAGCTATGTCACCGATGCCGTCGACAAGGCCAAGTCAAAGGGCTCTCAAGTCGGTGAGAGCTTTGGCCTCGATCAGTACTTTAAGATGATCCCCGACGGAGACAAGATCATCCCCAAGCTGAAGCAGCTCCGCGAAGTCGCAGATAAGCACAAGGAGGAGGGAGAGAAGCTCTTCAAGGAGACCATTGAGGAGGTAAAGAAGGTCCTTGAGGCTAAGTCGAAGAAGGCGGAGGAGATTGCCGAAAAGGCCAAGAAGGATGCCAAATAAGGGACTCGTTTCCGGCATTCATGCAACTGATACCCCCATCAAGATGTCTCGGTAGACAACGACTTGTACCATAATGGTTGAAAAGCATTTCCTATGTAGCAAAAAGTCAAGGGCTGGGATCACCAGCTTCTAACAAACTATGTTTCCGTGAATCGTGAAGCTATATTGAAACGTATTGATATCACACTTATATATCAACAATGGATGTTCATCGCACCCGCACATCACCGAGCCTTAGATGTCCTGCGGTTTGTACAGCACCCTCTCTTTTAGCAAGCGCGGAGTATCCGGATCGTGGCTAGGAAGAACAACCACATCGCTCTGTTTCGCAAACGCCTTGATCTTTCGCAAGCTGTCCAGCGCCGACATCGGGTCGTCATTAATACCATCCGGCTCTTCCTTATCCAGCAAATCGATACCATAGCTCGCGTCCCCAAGCAAGCAGTACGTCGACGTTGTTCCGTCCTCGTTATCGCCATAGACGACTAGCGAAATGTGGCCGGGGACATGGCCCGGTGTATGCACCGCCACAACCTTCCCATCAGCCGTGATCCGACCCGACGTCTCCCACGGCCCCACGGCCCCGGCGCAGAAATCCACAAGGGTAGGTTGGAATCCTTCCGGCCAGTGTTGTGGTACGCATCCCGCAAGCGTCGCAGTCATGGGGCTATTCCCGAACGCGGCCCAGTGCTCCTTGCTCACAAATACAGGAACATCCGGCGCAGCAGTCTTCAGAGCCTTCAACCCGCCCGCGTGGTCGCCATGGAGGTGACTCAACACGATTGCCTGCAAATCCCTCGGTTCCACACCGAGTTGCTGCAGTTGCTGAACGATACCGTCTTCGGGCTTGATGTCCACGCTGCTGAACATCTTTGTCGGGGATAAATAGGGGAGATAGCCCGGGTCGTTGAAGCAGGGGGACTCGCCCGTGTCGAAGAGGATTGGCCCGTCTGGGTGGGCGATGAGGAAGACGCCGATGGGGAGGGGTTCTGTCCATTGGCGGTTTGCGATGCAGCGGAAGCGGCGAAGGGTGACGAATTGGTCGAGGTAGGATTTTATCGGTTGGCTTTTCATTGGGAGTTTGATGCGGACTGATCCGGTTGAGAGGAAGGTCAGGCTGACCCTCTTCTGTGCGTCGGCACCCATTTTGAAGGTTGTGCTGGAGGGGATTGACAGGTCTGATACGGGAAAGGTTGTCGAAAGCAACGATTGAGCCGTGGACCGTCTGGAATTTATTCAAGATGTTTGTCTTGATGTTTGACTTTGAGATTTGAAGCTTTCGATTCGTAAGCTAGATCCCCTACGCCTTTGTGTGCCGAGATCCCACATGTACCGAATGCCGGTTGACGCCCCGTTCAATCCCGGTTCTAAGCCAGGATGGATCAGCTAGCGAAAAAAGGTTTCCGCGAATAATTCTTGACAATGGTATTCGTATCGAGAATAATTTCAACTGTATGAGCAACTCATTCATGCAATCCCGCACTTGTTCAAGGGTGTTTACACTGTAGACAACACCTGAAACGTAGAAGCTACTTTGAGAAGGATGATGAAAACCAACTGGTGTATACGCAACGCCGAAATCCTCACTCATATGAACTTACTTCTCATCGTCATCAGGATCATTCAGATACCAAGTTGAATCAGACCCATCAAACTCCTTCGTCGACATGCCATTTCCAAGATACGCAAATCGATTCCTTTTCTTCTCGTACACATAATCCCAGTCTTCCCCTCTAAAGTTCTCCAACATGTGAAAAAAGTGGATTCTACTGCCGGGATGCAGCGCCGTGACAGGCCCATCCACGGCACCGCCCTTAAACCAGGATCTGCAGGACCCTGCCCATGCTGTTCGCGGCATGAAGGCTTGCGTGTGTTCGTGTAGTTCGTTGACTGCGTCGAAGCTAGGGCTGATGGATTTGATGCCCTCAGTTTGGCATTTCTTGATGATATCGGCAATGTATTTCGCAAGGAGCTCGGTTATCGTGAAGACGCTGCCGTGACCGATAGGGGCATTGGGGCCGAGGAAGACTGGATCATCTATTAGCAGAGTGAGCAGAACATGATGGTACTGCGATGACAATCACAGCATGAGCTTACCAAAATAATTAGGCATCTCGGGAACCGCGCAAGACATGTAGGCTTTTGGTATATCTTTTACCCAAATATCTCGAAGATTTGTAGACTGTCGTCCAATAATGGGAAACCGCGGGCGAAACGAGACATCAAATCCGGTGGCACACACTATAGCATCAACCAAAATGTGTTCCCCGGATTCTGTGATCAGGCCATCCGAGACTGCGCGGGCGACTCCTCCCGAGATGACCCTCGCATTGGGTTTCGTCAACGACTCTAAGTACCCGACTCCTGGAGTCATTCGACGACAACTGATAGGAAACTTGGGAATCAAGATATCGATCAGTTTCTGGTCGTCGTTGAGCGCGGAACGCATGTATTGAGTGACATCTTCCGTTGCTTGTCGGTGAGTTTCCGAGTCTTTCAAGACCTAGAACCTTATAATTAGTGGAATTTTCAGAGAGTGGAAGATTGGGTCACCAACGAGGAAGAAGTTGTTGTTCACTTGCTCCTCTATGGCCTTCACGAAAGACTTGTAGAGCGCAGGATCCGACTTGAATTTGTCGATCTGAGCCCGCGTGAAATTCTCGTCGTCGTCCAACTCGATCTGCTCCATCGTTTGCTTCGCCTTGCCTAGTAGCAATGTCTGGACTCGCGGCGGCATTATCCAAGTTGGTCCCCGGATGAAATGAATCATTTCCTTCGCGTCTTTTTCTATCGTGTCAACAATTTGGTGGTACGCGATCGAAATCTTCTAGTACTCACCTTTTTGTATAGCTGGAACGATCTGAACTCCAGACGAGCCGTTGCCTATAACTGCTACTCTTTTCCCTTTCCAGTCAAACTTCTCATCCCAGTCGGCGCTATGAAGGAGGGCACCAGAGAAGTCGTGCAGACCGGGAATATCTGGCCACTTCCAATTGCTGTAGCAAGCTCAATGTCAGCAAAAAAACAAATTTCACGACAGTCAGAGAGAGTTGACAGGGGCGTTTTCATACTTGAGAATTCCACTCGCGTTCATCAAAAACTCGCAATAATCCTCAAACTCCTCACCATCCTCCAGACTCTTCAGCCTGACCGTCCATCGCCCGGCACCTTCATCCCAGAAAGCCCCCGTCACGAGATGATTAGTCTTGATCTGGCACCGTAGGTCTTCGTCATCACACAAGCGGCACAAGTACGCCTGAATCTCTTCCGCCGGAGACAGGAAGTTGGCCCACTCCTTGTTCGGCTTCCAGGAGAATTGGTAGTTGTGCGAGGGTATATCGCACTTGCATCCCGGATAACGATTCTCATACCAAGTGCCTCCGACTTCGGGGTTCTTTTCGTAGACGATGTGATTGAAGTTTGTTAGTTTCTGGCGAAAGGTGTGGATCATGTTGAGGCCGCTTGCGCCGCTGCCGATTGTGATGATGCGGACTTTTTTAGCTGTTCCGAGGGGTTGTTCGACGACTAGGTATGGCTCAGCAGGGTTGGAATCTGGTGTTTGTGGATCCCTGAGTCCGAGATGATTGCCGATCTGGGTAACGCGTGATGAAGCCATTTTCATCCTCAATCACAGAAAGATAATGGGATAGAGTGTTGTGTCGGATGGAGACTGGAGCTTTGGTAGTCAGGGAATATGTACGCAGCGTTCATGTACCAGGCTGCCAAATAACGAGAGTTGTATTAGACCTCTATACTCACGGGTTATATAAAGCACACATGTCGTCCGAATGTGCTGGTACGATTATAAAAACGCCCTGGTCCACCTTGGCTGCTGGCACGACAAATGCCTCCAACCTCTGATTCGGCACCGGCTGCTCAGCGTAGGCATGGTCAATTCTATTCATCTAAGACGCCGATGGATCATTAACCCCACACGATTTGCCGACAATTGGTGGACCTCCAGCGTTCGGGTCAAGACTCGAAGCGTCGGCACACGATGTTTGACTCTCGGCACTCGGTATCTGGCGTTCGGTACTCGCGGCCCCGCAAGTCCTCGCCTGCCTAGTGTATCTCGTACGCTGTAGAGACCGGCTTCCTGCCCACGAGCTTCTGGGGTCACGGAAATAGAGATCGGCCGAGCAGGTATTGACGCAGGAGTATGTCTAGGGTGCGGAGAGAGAGAAAGATTTTCAATCTGGTGAACTTCGATTTCAAGGGGGCTTATGATGGCATATGAAAGCACAGTCTACTTCGAGAACCATAGCGTGGGGGAATCCTCAGAAGCTTGCGAGATGGGCTAATGCATGTTGCACTTGAAGAACAGCGCGCATTTTAATGTCGGACACAACCAATTTTGCAAGCCGGGCTTCCTCATGGCCGGCCGCTGTCACCCGTGTTCCTCCTCTACGGTGATACCATTCTCGTAATACAGCACTAAATGGACGACAGTGGGGTCGCACTCGACTCCATTAACACCTACTATCCCATCGAGTGCTGCAAGGTGACAGTACATTGATCTCCAGCTTTTCTCCAAATCTACCGAGATATGAATTTCTGATTCGCGTATATAGTGGAAATAAATCGGAATAACGCCTTATTAGCTATTCCTCCGCACTCGTATGTACTGTCGCCTTGCAGCACTCGACGGAATACAAGGTACTTCACCATTAGGCAGGCAAGCCGCCAAGTAGTTCGGGATATTATCAACCGAGCCTCGACAGAGGACGATAGAGCGCCGCGACGTCGAAGACGGACAGAATAGCCGTTACACATATCCTAAGGTACCTTACGCGACTAAAAAACCACCCACAAACTCAACCAACTTCGTCATGAAGAGTAATGCTCTTCGAGCCAAATACCATAGCAAAGAATTATCAGTAGAAACAATAGAATTGAAGCTAAGTTCTGCCAAACACATCGCAAACGCACGACAGGATGGCTAGAGGTTGTATTATGCGGCCTGAATAACTCGGTTGGCGTGGTACATTTTTTTTTTAATATGTATATAATCCGTCATAATTAGAGTGCAAAGTTGTGGACCGTTAACGAGAATGACGATAAAATCTTGGTCGAGTAAGTAGGTATCAGGTGCACCATCTTAGACTCTTCAAACGTTTGTTAAATATTGTATCCGAGTTCTCGGAGTCTTCGGACCTTTCAAATCGTTCATACCGAGTTGCCCATCCATATCCTCGCCCCAACTTGCCACAAAAAGTGGATCAGCTCAGCCACCCGAGTCGTGCGCCAGAAACGGAGAGTGCATCGGAAGCAAACACAAAGCCTGCCTTCCTGTTCAATACACGTTACAAACTGCCGGAACATGGACTTTTCACGATGTCGTACAATGTCGGTATCTCAATCAACCAGTGCCCGATGTTGTGTTAGGAAAATAACGCAGGCTGGTAGCCTCCACCTCGACGGATCGTATTGTCACAAATCCAGCACTTCTGCCAACACTTGAGCGAATTACAAGTTTTTCTTGTTGAGCAAATTGAATCCGTGAAAGTATACAATGCTGCTGTTTCGGCCTTCTTCGAGACTTTGATTATTACTAATAGAAAATCATCCATTCACGCGAATCATATGCCCTCAGACAACTTTAGCAAAATGGCTCCTGTTTCCTTAGCCCCTACTATCAGCCATCAGCAGCTGGACTCTCGCATTACTCTTGCTGAGCAACTTGCCCAATCACCACCTGTAGGACCCGTAGTCCTCATGAACGTTATATCGATTCCCGACGGTGCCGACTAGGACCACTTTCTCGACACCTGGCGGAAGAGCGGCGATATTCTCAAGAAGCAACCCGACTACATCTCTACTCAACTGCACCGATCTCTCGATGGGCACTTTCTTGTCAATTATGCGGTGTGGGAGACGGACGAAGATGTGAAAAAGGGATTAGAGTTGGAGGAGTTTAAGAAGGTTCTAGAGGCTCTGCCTTCTGGCACAGTTTTCAAGCCTGCTGTCATGCGCAAGATTGCCGTATCAGGCAACTGTGTTGCTTAGGCGCCACTTGGTTGTATCTAGGACAACCTACTTGTATGGTAATTCTGAGTGCCCGGAAAAAAGGAATATCTCGTCAGTTTAGGAAATCAGGATATCATACATCTAAAACACTTGTCCCAACGCCATCAACTTGTTTACCTCCAGGCACTGATGAGCCGTAACTTCGTAAGCTACGATCATAACTATGATGCCTAAGCCACTCTACCTACTCACTCCAGTATTCGGTGTCGTATTCGTCAAAATACACCCAAATATGTAAATAATCATCATAGGGACTGTCCCCTCGCCTTAATCCATTCCCCTCGCCGTTCAGGGAAGTCTCGACTGGTCCCACGGAGCCTCTATCTGCCGTGACCTTCCCTGTACCACCCCTCATATTCCCTTGTAGATGCAAAATCTCGATGTGTTCCCAATCTGAAGCTTCTACTACCTACTTAGATAGGCTCTTCTTCACATTACAGTTCGAGGAGGGACTTCATTAGCGACACTGGATTTCACTACCCATATAGAGTAGAGCATTACCTATCCGTGATCCGTCTCACCCAGCCAGCCCTCTTTTTCTACTTCTGTCTTGGCCAGTAGCGCTACATTACTTGACTACTGAGCAACAACAGCGCCACGGAGTTCTGCAACTAAGTGTGTTTTGGATGACCCGGAGCTGCTTCCTAAACTTCTGTATCTACTACAAATAATGAAAAGAAAATCTCGTTCGACATAGCAAAGTGACCAATGAGGTGAAGCGTTATTTGGAAAAGTAGCGCGACCGTCTCATGGTCCGACTAACGGCAACGTGCAGGGTTAGCTAGGCTTGATTCCTGTAATATCGGCATCAGTCTGCTCGGGCAACTTGGTCAAATTCCGTGAGGTCATGATGACTTAATATCAGCTTATATAAAGCTAAGCTTAAAATCATATCTTTCTTGTTATTAAAAGTCAAAGGGCCCTTTATGTAATTCTTTAAGTTTGTCATAAGATCCTTCTCCGAGGAATTTTCAGCTTGATAGCAAATAATATTTAGCCAGGTATTAGTAACCTATAATTACTGTATTAACTCACTATATACTCTATCCTTTAAAAGTCCTTGGAATCAATCACACTTACTTATACGTCAGGTTAGTAAAGGGCTAGGTACGTTAGGTCAGCTAGATAGCGGGCAAGGGAGGCCACATCCTCCTAGTCAGTGAGCAGTCTAGGTAGGTTCGAAGGGCATTTTCTTTATATGAGCCTGCGCCAAACTCAAAGCCATTTTAGACCAGATTGTTGTGCTACCTTTGGAAGGGCGAAACGATGATGTCTATTATTGGTTGGTTGACAATATGTGTAACGGCACACCGGGCACGAGCATCAATATTCCCCTCGAGAGCCTTGTATCCGATGAGTCTCTGCTAAGCGTCCCCCCCCATCAGACAAAAACTTGAACAATTATCTCACAAGCGGTGCATGTTTATATGTTACTATTAGGACATCTTTGCTCTTTCCTCCTTTGTAGCGCCTTTTACTTTAGCAAAGATATCACTTGCGATAGCCAAAGCCTCCCTGCCGGCCGGAACACCGCAGTATATCATCGCATGCCGGCAGGTCTCTACGATCTTTTCCTCCGAAATACCAAGGTTGAGTGCTGCTGCGGTATGTATGCGTAATTCCGGGGTTCTGTTGAGCGCTATCATCATGCCAATGTTGACCAAAGACCTCTCTTTGAACTCGAGTCCGGGGCGAGCATAACTGGAGAAACACACTTCGGCAATGTACTCAGCACTGACTTTACTTGGAAGATCGTCGCGCTGTCATTCTTCTCTCAGCTTTATCCCTTGGACGGTGTTTTTGTGCGGTGGCTTACCTACTGCTTGCTCTTGAATGGCGCTGATAAGTTTGGCCCCTAAAAAGGCTTGAGCCATTTGGGCACCCTGCACCAGCTTTTCGCTCGGTTCCGACATGATTTGAATTGCGATCTTCAATCCGTAATAGATCCCTGAAAGCTAGTTTGTGATCTGGAGTATGCGGTTGCAACGCAAATAGAAAGTCTTCTAACTTCAATCTCCCAGGAGCACTCTTTGCCAGCTGCTCCAAGTCCATCAAGAACGAAAGCCTGACCAGTTCTTAAATAGTAACATGTATATTCAATCTTATTCTGTTGTTGCCCGCAAACCGAACGACAAGCGCGGGCGGTGCAGTGCCGAGTGCCGAATTGCCGAAAGCACAGAATCAGCCATCGGGCTGATGTCGGTGAACTCATGCCGAACAACGCGTCCGTGAAACGCTCATCAATAACGAAGCCGAACTTGTATTGAATCATGTTATACTACATAGTGGTAACGGGCGTTCGGCGACATGTGAAAGCCAGTGCCTCAATCATTAGCGCCATCGAAATTTGTGAAGTCCATGCCAAGTACATCCATGAACGAGGTAATGTCGTCAAAATCCTCCCCAATTTGCCCAAAATTTCCAAAAGCGTCATCTTGGAAGATGATTTCATCTCTTGTGCCGTTATTCTGTAATAGTATATCCATGTTCTCGCACATTTCTGATGGGAAAGCAAATAGGTCGTTCATATGGTGCTGCACAATCTTTGCGGTTGATAAACAACGGGAGCCTGCTGTCTCGTTTCTAGAGCATGAAGACTCATCGGCCCGCTCACCTCCAAAGTCTCTTGGCGCGTCTTTAAACTTTTGCAAAATAGCGCGAGCCCCTCCATACTTGGCGCTCATACCCTCAAGAACAGAATGTATAACATCAAGATCTCTGCAGAGTAAAATCTCTTTCACAAGGGTTTGAGGCTGATGAGATATTAAGACGACGCCGACGGTTAATACAAGAAAGGCATGGTAGTGTATCAGGTGTACAACTCTCTCTCTGCATCGGATTTCGTCATAAAGCCGAGCAGCACAGGATGCAGCAAGGACCGACGCCGGTGAAGTTCTCCACGTTGGCGAAGGACTTCTGCTGATCGTCTGAGTCAGGATGATGGCGACGAAGTAGAAGATGAAAGTCTCCGCGCGTTGTTGATTGAATGGCTTTCTGGTCCCATGGGGGTTGAACAGCCGCAAGTCTTCGGGCAAGTCAACCAGCCAGCGGTAGAGGGATGTGACGACGGCTTCGACTTCTGCCGACGTTGAACCACCTTTTCTGAATTTCAGGGCAGTGATGACCCCAACGATCTGAACGAGCTTCGTCATCCAAGTTGTAGCAATTGCGTCGAAATTCTGCACCGTAAAGTCTTCTTCTGAGAGCGGCGGTACATCGGTGTCTTCGGGTCTGAGGAGAAGAGGTCGGCCCCAGCAGGCTGTCATGAGGATTTCACTCGTCTGCGTCAAGTCAGACCTTCATGTTTCTTTGAAAACCAATTTTCTAGGCCGATGTTTGAGAGAGAGAGAGTCCATGATACTCACCTGAAGGTGCCAGAATATTCGCCGCAAGCAACCAGCACCCTGGCGATTGGAATATGATGACTGTTTCTGAAGACCAAGTTGAAGAGCCATTCGCGAAGCCATGCCTGTCCAGTGCCATGGCCCATCTAGCGTGACAAGATAGGGGGAAGATGCGCTCCAGCATGACATCAGGTACAGAGATTTTAGCACCGTCAACTGGTCAGGTTCAAAGCCAATATGAACCAGCGTTTTGGCTTTCTCGTATTGCGAAGCCGCGAGACCGATGCTGTCCTCCCCGTGTCGCATTAGGCTACCTGCTAAGCAAACTGCTTGTTGGAGAAGCACTGATGCATTTGGGCCGGCAACATCACCGGGATCGACCATGGGGTAGTAAAATACGACATGCTCAAAGAACGAATCTTTCAGAGCCTGTAGTAGTACGGATTGCGGGAGAATACTGGCCCCCGTGACTCTTAAAATCGCCTCGTTAACGCCAACGTTTCCAGTGGCAAGATTGTCTAGCACGACAGTGGGTGGTGTCTTGACTGGGTCGTGCATGATGGAGCCTTTGTCGATAAAGCTGCTAGGTCTCCACGCAACATCTCGCTGGAGACTGCTGCTAGTCTCTGACAGTTTGCTGAATGGCTCTCCTCTTGGACTGTCTCTCGGGCTGGTCACTTGGTCTGGCATCGGCAACGAAATAGATGGTGTTCTGATGTCGGCCTCGCCCACATCAGTGCCCCGCGGGCGTCTTTTCCGGGCACCATTACGGAGACTTATTAACGATTGTCAGCACCTCTGTTGCAAGAGCATGCCATGAAGGAGCGAGCGTACACGCAGGGAACTTGAGCACGTCGACAATTTCGACACGTCTTGTCTTGGCTTACCTGTAAGTCGCATTTTACCTAAGTGCTTCGTGTTATCTCAGCTCCACATCGAAATAGAGATGTAGATACTTTAGCTAGGAAGTAGCTTACTTTGCGTGAGTGACATTCGACACATACAATGTTCGCACGGTCCCTTATTGTTCTCCGAGGTCTTTCCATACTCTCATTGCCGACTGCTCAAAAAACCTTTCCGTATTTGATGTGGATGAAGTGAACCCCGACTTGATACAGACGTGACCTAAGTTTTGATCCTTCAATCCAGATTGAAAGCTCACCGTGCGGGGCAAAAAGCCTTTTCTATGGAGCCTGTGGGCGGCCGGGAAGCTAGCCGAGGCCCCCCGGAAGCTCCGGGTTTGCGGGGTGCATGGACCAAGAGTCCGACAAACAGGGAGTCTGGACTGGCCATTGAGCTGGTCTACCGGTAGTACAAGCAGCGATGAGGATCTAAAACCATCAATACGACACATCACATTCGATGGAGACAGCAATGTCATGTGACCAGCAAGCTAACTTGGCAGGAGTGCCTAGATGGTATTCAACGTCTCTTTGAAAACTTGATTGCGTTTCTACTGCAGCCCAGGCTCGGGTGACTAGAGCCCATCTTAAAGGATGCATGCTTGCGCTGGTGACTAGTAATTAGGCATTTCGAAGGATAGGTGCTGTCTCGGAAGCCACACGCGACGGATAGTCGGGCGCGCCGAGCCAGGAGTACACTTCCTTGAGCGAAAAGTCGGGTGACCGAGTGTCCCTTTTTTCGGCTGGAAGGTCATCGGCTCGTCTTGATTGCCCGAGTTTTTGATTAACTAGTTTTGCTTTTTCCGGCCCTTGATCGGATCTGATATTGTGCGAGGTGTGGGTGACACGATCCGTTACACCGTGGCTAGGGCAGTGTCTTACAGCGGTCCGCTTCCCGTCAAAAGAATCTAGGGGATAGCCGATGAACCTCCCAGCCTCGGACTTGCTCCCTTCCAAGCGTTTCTGAAGCCAATGTTTGCTCTCCAATCTTCCTCTCATCGTCATGGACTGGTGGTGAGGAGGCTCTACGTGAGCCATCGCCCTGCGCCTCCGGTTCAAGGCAGCTCAGGTCATGTTTCATCACGAGTTCTCAACGGGTTTTATAAGAAAAGGGATAAGGGATGGTGATGGTGATGGCGGCGGGGATTGAGATGAAGATAGGGAACAAGATCAGACCAGGAGCCTTAAAGAAAGCAGCTGTTCACGCGCTTGGAAGGGACTAACACGTCTGCTGTTGTTTTCAGATCACTGCCTCTCACTCACTTTTCACGTCCTTTACCTTAAGCTGTCTCTCCCAGTTCTTTAGTCTCTTGGTTGTCTTTGAGATCTCCGGATTCAATTCACCGCTCTACACTCATCCAGTTCAATCAGACTTTCAATGCAGCCAAATACGATATGGATCTTCACATTGTCGCTTCTAGCGAGACTAACTTACGCCCAAGTGAACCTTCCAGTCTCTGGCGTTATGGCATATTTGGGATGTTACATCATCACGGACATGGCCCAGTTTGAAATAATCCAGAACGACGCTAGCGTGGAGCCCGAAAGCTGTCAAACTCAATGCTCAGGCTTAATACGCAGATTCGCTGGTGTGATGGGAACTACGTGTCTGTGCAGCCGGGCAGGCATCAATTATCCGGATGGCTATTATGACCCTGAGTCGGCATGCAGTACTCGCTGCAGCGGAAACAACAATGCTCGGTGTGGTGGCTTTGCAGATGGGCTAGACCACTACAGCATGTATTATGGCTTCCGGGAGGTTCCACCTGCTCCGACGACTACGGAATCGACTGAGCCAAGCACGTCGTCGACGACGTCTTCTGATTCTGAGTCCAGTGCTGAATCTTCGTCCTTCACCTTCTTTTCGAACTCGTCCTCAACCACTCCAACTTCTTCTTCGACTATTTCATCAACGTTAGAGTCCAACACAGACACATCTTCAATCTCCTCCACGACCTCCTCTTTAACTTCCCTTTCAACATCTTATTCTGCCTCTGATCCAGCCTCATCCTTGACTTTATCGTCGGCCTCGTCTTCGGAATCTTCAATTTCTCCAACGAGCTCAGAGTTCACAACAGATACATCCTTAACCTCCTCCTCGAGTTCTTCTTCAACTTCCCTATCAATATCCTCTTCAGCTTCTGATCCAGCATCAACTTCATCCTTACCCTCCTTTTCATCATTCTCCTCTCCCTTATCGTCCTTCCAATCATCTACCTCATCCGAGCCCACCTTTTTCTCGACAACGTTAGTTTCCTTATCGACTTCAACCTCTTCAAGCTCATCAAGCTCTTTGTTGACCTTGCCATCGACCGCGACTCCGACGTCATCTTTCACTTCTTCTGAGTCCATCACGAACACCAACATCGAAGTCAGCAGTAGCGCACAGCTCTCTTCAACATCAACCGGTGGGCCATTCGCAAATACGACTATCTCCTCAACTTCTTCATTTTTCCTCACATCATCTACGTCTGCTGCCGATACCACTACGTCAAGTACTGAACCAACGATGTTCACTGATCCAACAAACTCGTTTTCTTCTTCAATTTCTTCTTCAGATCTAAGCTCAACGACTTCCACGTCTTCAACGACACTGCTTGACAGCAGCTCAATTTCCACGACTACTCTCTCAACGAGATTTTCTAACTCCTCGACGTATCCTACAAGTTCAAGTTCAACGCTATCGACCTCTTCCTTATCTTTAACCAGTTCTGTCTCATCCGTGAGCTCTCTATCATCAACAAGCTCCCTTTCAGTGACGTCTGTCTTGTCGGCGACCTCTCTATCATCCACAGACATCCCGACTTTGAGCAGCAGCTCGACGACTGAACTGCTCTCAAGTACAGGCACGCTCGTGACATTGACTTCTTCTGACTCAACAACGTTTTCGACATCCAATTCGAGCGGCACATTCTCGGACCTCCTGACAAGTCTACTGCCAAGTACCAGTACTTCATTGACGAACAGCACCTTTTCTTTGAGTACAACATCTCTCGCTGGTACGACTGTTGCGTCCTCTGGAAGCGCAGAGCCTACCAGCAGTTCTTCTATATTTCCATCCTCAACTGGTCAAACAGTCACTCTGACTGGGTCATTTGCGGATACGACTTCTACGTCAACCTCAGCATCGACTTCAAACTCGTTGACAAGCAATGTCAATTCCGTCTCAAATCCAGCCTCTTCAATCACGCAAGCACCTTCTTCGGACTTGGTCACAAGCACGATGTCCGGACCCCCTTCCATCCAAGCAAGCCAGAGTACGAGTTCTTTCAGCTCGACCCCGATCTCGGACCTCACTTCCATATCCGTCGCGACGGATTTGCCAAATATATTGTCATCAACAACCTTGGCGTCGACCACGAATGCAGCGACCGCTACAGACAACTTGGCATCAGACGCAACCTTGCCGTCATCTACCGCTACGCTGTCTTCCCTATCCGAAATTCCATCATCAACCATTCCGACAGACGTTTCCGCTACATCTAGTGTTACATCAGTGACTGGACCACCCTTTAGCTCCTCCTTCATTACCTCGACCCTATCACCATCGCCAACGTCAGTGTCCATTATTACAGACCAACTTTTCCGGTTGACCGTATTGCTTGTTGCTGCAGAATCGGCTTTGCCACAGTAGAGTAGTTATATATCCAAAATAGGGTTTTGTTGCTTGTTTGTTTTTGAGGTTGAAATTTTATCACTGGTGTGGGCAGCACTGTTATTAGACGGCCGACGGCGTTTCGGGTATTCCCCAGGGCTAGGCGGGAAGAGAGACACACGAAACGATATTCTTATTTAAGTACAGACCGGGTTCATGCTAGGTGCGAAGATAGACTTGCTTTCGTCCAATGAGACCAATTACCACTTCTGTCCACGGACTACCGGAAGGCATAGAATCGAGAGGCTCAGTCTTCTTTATTCAACATGGTGAAGTTCGATTGATTGAGGCAGGGTATCATACTCGATTGGCGATATGAACATTATGTAAACTTCAACAATTAGACTTAATCCGACATCTTCGACACGAGAGTGGAAGATGCTGGCGAAACCTAAGACGCTGGCGGTGGTGAACGCAGTTGATAAACAACTAATATATATATGTGTGTCACACTCAATTCGAAAACAACATGAATACTACCTCTCGTTCGCTCGCTCGATTTTGCTTTTTCGTTACATCCAAAGCAATACCCTTTGAAAGCCAAGGCCTCGGGATCACACAAGTGAACACCAGTTGTTTACGCATGAACTATTACAGCGCGTCTAGTCCAGCCAGATCAGGTGGTTTTTATAGATGAATGTGTTATGCTATGCGAGTCTCTAATAATTAACAACAGATTCATGATGCAAAACTATTCGTGGAGGAATAACAAAATGAGTGACTTTGCTGAATTGCGCAGTAGTACCTAATACTTGATCTCGTCCCACATCAATTCTCTTCCCAACTCTGACAGGTTACATCGTGTTCTGAACAATGCTTGACACCAGTTCAATTACTAGTAGGTCGTGTTCAGGAAAGCGCCACAACGTTCCCCTCCAGAGCCTGGCTCACCGACACGCTGCTCGCTGAGCTACCCACCTGTCCCTGACTACCGCTCGCAGGCTGCGATCCAGTTTGCGGTGTGCTAAGTTGAGGCTGGCTCGTCTGCGGAGATCCGGTTTGAGGTGGGCTCATTTGAGGAGAGCCCCTCTGGCCAGACTGGGAGGAATTTCCTGGGGAACCTGTCTGCGGTGAACTCGTCTGAGGAGCTCCAGTGGCTGGCATAGCTGCTGGAGGTGCGCCGCCCATGGGAGGGCCCATACCGGGAGGCATCGCCAAAGGAGGGTTGGCGAGCGACACAATTCCCATTCCAACCGAGCCACCAGCTCCAGCAAACGCGGCCATGGCGCTTTGGAGACCCTCCGCAGGAAGCTTGGAAAGAACGACCTGGCCAAGTGCAGCTGACAACATGTTCTGGTTCATGAAGGATTGGAGAAGCATTGGCGTCATGTTTATTTGGTCGAGCGTCTGACGCTGGAGCATTGCTGACATGACCATGATCTTCACGCTCTTCGTCAAAGTATCGGCAGCGTTCTGAAGGGCGATACCGTCAGAGATTCCAATCGGCGAGGTCGGCGCAACATCAGTACGGGCTTGTGCAAGTGCACCTTCGAGTCCCATCATCGCCGGGCCGAGAGCAGAAGCGCTATTGGGGTCGGGGGTCAGAGCCTGATATCATGTTACTTAGTGAATTGAACTCCTCAATTGAATGTGTGAACATTTCAGTGCACATTTGCCGAAGTCAACTTACTCTGATGGCTGTATCCAAGTTCGATGATGCCACTGAGATGGACACGAACGCCCCCTGAATTGTTTGGAGGTCTCTCTTTTGGACATCATTTGCTGGCGCCGCAGCCACAGTGCTGAGCACCAATGAGCCCACAACAAAAAAAGCCCTCATCCTCACGACCTTCGCTGACCAGAGCGAGAGAGATAGAGGGAGAAATGAGTGAAACGAGATCGGAATCAAACAGAAGAGATGGACAGGTGCCAGACCGGATTAACAAGTCACTTCGTTCACGTCTACGTCTACCAGGGGCGTCAAGGTCTTTTATGAAATTGCAACAAAAATTTAAGATGTTGGGATGTTTTCCACGCCGGACGACGTCCCAAAGATCTGGGTCTCGCCGGCAACCGGTTGGAGTGGACGTATTTGGTAGAGCTTGCTGAGAGCGCTTCAGATCTTCCGACGCTGCGGCAGTCGTCCATTGCAGGTATACAATCGCGAGGATCCCGTCATACGAACGAAGCCCACATCAAACCATCTAGAGCTGATCCAAACGCCCGGGTCAGGTTCTAGCCATGAGGAACTCCCGTTTGAGGGAATCACGGAGCTCCGATCAATGTCGTAGATGGGATGAAACGCCGTCGCGGGTCAAAGTTGCCTTGACAGCCTGCCAATTCGGGGAACTGGCAGCAGAGTCTGAGGGCTTACTTGGAGACGGAAGTCTGTGCGTTTTCTTCATACGGCGTAGAGCAAACAAAGACGGTGATGGCGAGTGCGATCAGTAGAGTGGCTTCTCTTGCGGAAAGCCTAGCTAGGTCATGGATTGTTTGCATGACCAGCCGGGCGGGCTGCCGAAGTTTATCGAACGTGCTTCCCTGACCATACCATGAGGCTGAAGTTGAGATCTTCTGATCGGAGAGGAGATTACTGCCGACTTGCGACGGCCGTTGATGGAAAGCCGGCTCCGAATGGGGAGAGAGAGAGTCACTGGTATGATGACCCGCTGTAGCGAGGGATTGGAAACCGGCTCCGGGAGGTAAGGACCAGAGTGGTTCGATTTCCAGCGTTTTCAACGCCGTTTGACTACCTCAGAACCGAGACCGAGCTACGCAAGGTTATATAATGCTACCTCCCCCGCGAGCAAATTCTTGTGAGTCTGAGCCAGTTTTGCTTTGGGTTATGCCCTTTGAAGGAACTTAAGAGAGCCGTTGCGCTCTTTCGATCTAGGGTATATTAACGCTCATCTACACTCACTCTTACACATATCTAAGATTACTTCAATCTTCTACTAAAGGTATTTGCTTGATTGCTTTGGGCAACGGAGGTTCCCACGCGTCAGTTCATGCGATTTCAATGGGAAATGGGCTAATCAACCCCGGCGGGCGTTACGAAAAAGAATAATTTGTTTCTGGCAGTGCTTAAAGACATGGGAGATATGGCAAATATTAGGGTCACACCTCTAGCTGTTGACAGGAACCTTGTAGCATCTTTGAAAATGCTTCACGTGTGAAGTAGGCAGCGTTCTCACAAGTCCCAAGCAAGAGGGGAGCATGTTTCACATTTTGACGACTACCTAGGACTAACATTTGCAAACGAATAAATAGTAAGGCATGCGAACTGAGGTAAGACAGAGAAATGTATATCTACTTAGATAAGTAACAGCTTGAACCGAGGTAGTTATATACCTAGGCCTTGCTCAATCCTAGAGAGACACCCCGCCAGAATGTTCAGCAAGGCCATAGCCTGCCCAATCATCTTCATCCGTCTCGCTTTCCTCTGCTTGTGCGTCAATGCTCCGGTTTTCGTCTGAAGAGAATTGAAAATCGTCCATGTCGGCTGGGTCAATTATAGTTAAGTCTTCCATTGCGAACGCTAGCCCCTCCATATTTGGCTGAACATTGGCTTCCAGCGACTGATGTGTTGGATAGGAAGAGTGAGTATTTGAGTCATGTCTCTTGCCATCGGATATTTTCTCTTTCAAGGCGCGAAGCGCATCCTCTCTAATCTTGCTGACGACCTTGTCGAGCAGGCTGTCCCTCTCGTTGGCTTCAGCCAAATCGTTGGCAAAGAGATTTGGGATAGCCCAATTTGAGTAGACATTCTTGTGTCCGGGCCGAACTTGGATGTCTGTATTATGAGCATCGAAGTAATATTCGCACAGCCGGCAGGTTGGTTTACTGCAGCCTATAAATCTGACGTCGTCGAAGAACGGAGTGTGATAGCGATTTCGGCCATATTCTCGATCGAGATAGTGCAATAACAAAATTTCGCAATGAACTATGGGTTTGAAAGACGTCTTTTGGCACTGGTGCATGATGGACTCATCCAAGCCACAGACCTGAAGAGTTTTGGCCTGTTCAAGAGTCGTATCACGGTCCGCTGAGTTTGCCATCATTCTCCTGATAATATTGTCCGCTGAACGCCTCTTTTGTTGCGTCTTCACACCCATATGGGCTTGGAGTGTGTCCATCGGGTTATTCATTGGTATACTTGACGGCAGCCACGTTATTTCGAAATTTTCGAATAGGTCCGGGTGGAGACGTCTGCGGCCGGAAATGATAGCCCGAACAGCACCGTGATACGAAGAAAGTCGTCCGATGAAGTGCTGTAGCTCACACCAGCGCTCGGACTCGTTGAAGCGTCCTTCCCTGGCTCTTTCAATGGCTGATTCGTATATCGGACTTTTGCGGAAGGCTTTCGCGGCTGAAATCAGATGTTCACCGTTGCGAGCGACTGCATTGTCATGAGGGGCCGGTTCAGCATTACTCTTCCAGGCATCAAGGGAAGCCGAGAACAACTTACACTCTTGACTGTCATCCAAAGACACCTCGGTCTGGGTCAAAGCCTGGAGATATTCTAGTTCATCAAGTAGAGGGTCCCCTGTAGAAGCAAGTATTTGGTGATTAATTAAGTTGAATAATTGAACACTAGAGACGCCGTTGACATGATCAATGGAAAACATACCCGCGTCCAAGGACCTAGCCTTCAATTCTTTGATGCATTGATTCAGTCGTTGGTTGAGTCGCGACTTATACAGAGTAACTCGCTGCTTATGAAATAGGAGTATGTCGTGAAGAAGTTCGCGGAAGACTGGGGATCTATCATCGTCTCCAACGTCTACGCGATTCTGTGAACCCATTTTGTCAAGGAGGGTTTGGATGGTCGTAGCTGCAGATTGAGCATCTTCCGAGCTCCGCTGATTGGATGCAAAGATGTATTGCACCTTGTCAGGCTTCTGAATGATGGCAAGGGATGTGATCGTAGACCCGAATGGTCGGTTATCATAGACTTGAGCCACTTTGTTGATGAAGAACTCCAGAATTGTGCGAGAACTGCCATCGGGCACGCCCATTTCAGCAGCATGCCGATATTGTCCATTCTGCATCCTTCTACAGGCTTCATTAAGACCACATAGCAAGACCAGAGCCTCGTACAACCAAACCAACCTATCTCGCAGTTTGACAGCAACTACACCAATGCCATCTATCGCCACGGTTCCTTTCGAATCAACGTATTAGTAAACTATTTCTGGGCCATGAGGGAGGATCTCATACGTTCTTGTCTAGGGGGAGCTGCCGGGTTCCCCGAGATCAGTTCCTTGCTTGCCATCGTAGGCAGGCCCGGTACGTAGGCTGTACTATGTTCTGGTAATCAACGGCGAATTCACTTTTAAAGACGGAGATTTTTCAAAAGGTTTGGTGAAATTGACTCTCGAAATAGCTGAGAACGGAAGCCCAAGCGCACTCATTTATGGGAGCCTAACCCGCCAGAACTCCGCCAACACTCGGTTGCCTTAAGCAAGGCAGAGGTAGTTGGGAGCATTGAGTCCAATACAGCCGAAAACACGTCCAATCGCACTTGGTTGTTGATGCAACATGCCTGTTTGATGCATTGAAATGCAGAATGAGACCACCAACATTGGATGTGCGGTGTCCTCCAACCACTTAGCTCATCTGCGAGCCACACTTGAGGTTGCCTTACCGGCCCCCAAGCCGTATCTCACCGAAAATCCCATGACTCCATCGGCATTATGATTGGCTTCAGATTTTTTGGCCAGAAGCTAGTTGACAGCTAAGGTCCGGGGCCGACCGCTCTAATGCACACTTCGAAATGATCATTGGCTGATGGAAGCGCGAACAATGTGCTGAGGTTGGCGTCAGGCTTTAGGTACTATTTGACATGCAAGATTGGATCTCTATGCCTGGCTTTCAAGCCAGTCTCGGCAAGTTCATGCTCACCATGCCCAACACCATATGTAACATTTCTATCAGTACCTCAAGTTAGTCGATTATCTGATGTCATGTGGCGCGAGTTGCTTGTCATGTTGTTGAACCAACAGCGCTACCTTGCATAACAAATGGAAACAGAAAACCAACGTTAGGGCATTTGTCGGCATTCGTACTCCGTGACTATATCATGCAAGACTTGCCCTCTGCTTTACAATTGTCCCATTCGGTCCTTCATACCCTTCTGGAATAAGGTCAGAGGCCCAGACTCCAGTCGTATACATACCATCAGTGTTGATTACTTCTCCGGCTGACCTGTTTTTTTATACTCAAGTTTCTATGCGGGCATGTGCATTCAACCGCCCTGTGTCATCTTGAGCCGTTCGCCGAGCTTTTTCAACATCATCATCCAGCGATTCACACACCCACTCCATTCGGAACTGTGGTTCATCAATTTGGAATTCAAGGTGTCATCCTTCAGGCCATTCCAGGAGTGTAAAAAACGGAGTTTGTGGAACTCATGCGCAGGGCCTCTGCGAAAGATTGACTGACAGGCACAAAATTCTTCTTTTCTCGGATTTTGAGGACGTCGCACTCGGTCATAGTAGCTTACACAGCTGTAAGTTTCGTTTTGTAGTCGCTTCATGCCGTCTAAACAGCACAAGGAGGTAGGGGCATTGCTGACCAGGTTATACCTCACATTTTTAGCAGTACCAGGTTGGGTCTTGGTACGATGAACAACTACGGCCAGGGAGACCCCCCTGAGTACGAACTCCTTGGACAAGTCGACCCAGGGGACTCCTATCTCGAAAACGGGAGCTATATGAATGCCCGAGATTTACCTTCTCAGGATAGGGGCCATCGCTTGGGCATCCCGCTGTCCAGTAGATCAACCGATGATTCACAAAACCTCATGTCGTTTGTCCCCACTTCAGGAACCGCACCCTCAGGACATTAGGCTCCTGAAGGTGGATGGTCGCAGAACGAGAGCTACTGTTTCGATCTACGGCAATCGCAGGTGCCAGAAGGGTGGGAGTTACAAGATCAAGAAGCAATGGAATTAGCGGAACGTACAATGGAGGAAACCAAGTATGAATGTGACATCTGCTGGAGGGGCTTCCCTAAACAACACAAGCTCAAGTAGGTTGTGGGGTCCCTAGTGCTTTCTCAGAATTGAAGCAAAGCTAACATCAGTACAGCAAACATATGAAAAGGCACACGAAGCCACTCAAGTGTCTATTTAGCATGCCGAGAGCCATTCCTGACCGATGCCCAGCCGGGTTTGCGGAGAAGAAAGACCTCATTCGTCACCAAAACACCAACCACGTAAGGGTCGACGGACCATACAAGTGTCCTGACTGCGGGGAAGAACTAGGGAGGCCAGACTATGTACTACGTCACCAAAATACTGCTTGCCGCATGAGAAAAGGTGGCGAATAGATGCTATGTGGGAAAGGCGAGTCTTGGTGGTAGACTTCATACTTCTTGAGTTACCATGCTTCGCGGATTCTTGTCTCCAACTTCATTCTTCAATCTCGCCGGACCCGCGCTGCTATTTCATTCCTTGGTCGACATTCCCCGCAAGCAGTCTTGGCAGTCTTTCCTTGATGAGATTTCAGGACGTCGGTCGATCAGTTGTTCGCATACTGGCCCCTACACTCTTTAGAACCCGTAGCATTGATTCAATAGCTCTTACAACCTTCCTGAGGGAAACGTCGTATCCTTCCTGTTGATTCTTGATCTGAACAGTCAACCATCCAACGCAGCAAGGAAGCAGACCTAAACCACTTCACGGCCTCCGCCAAGACGCATTTTGACGAACATGCCCTCGATCCGGGCCTTTGGTAGCTCGTGCTAGCAACAACGTTAATCTAGTTAATGTTAGCGCTAAGATAGCCGCGAGCGGACAACCGCATGGCATGATGCGCATTATTTCGGGCAGTGATCATGACCACTCATTGGACGGAGCCGAGAGCGGAAAGGGGATGTCTCAGGGGTGGCAAGCTCATTGGTCGTGCAGGAATGTCAACTCCCATCGTCAGATGAGCGCCGAGAGCCCGAGACGCCAGCCGCAAACAGATGTGTAGATGTAAACAGAGGCTGTTTTGAATCAAATGATATGTGGCAAAATGGAAACATGGTCAACAAACCTTCAAAATCACTCATTCCAATGTTGCGGATCTTAAATAGCGGGGTTTGCCCGCGAAAGCCAAGGATCCTGATGCTCCATCGTCTCAAGAATTTCTTGATCAAAGATCTAAGATGAAGTGGACTGCTTCTCTCACAATTGCGCTTGCCGCATTACGGCAGGTTGCTGCTACGAACTCAACATCATGCACCCCGAGGCTGATCAGCTACTGGATCAACGCCAACGCCTCCATCTCAACCGTCGAGTCGGTCGATGCGGGCAACGGCTTCTCCGAGGAGGGTAACGTCGCCTTCCCGGGCAACGTCACGAACTTGCCCAGTCTCTGCGCTGTGAGCTTCATCGCAAAGACATCGGAAGGAAATGAGTACAAGTTTGCCATGTTCCTGCCAGATGAGTGGAACAACAAGATCCTCACCGTGGGCAACGATGGCTTTTCGGGAGGCGTCAATGCTCCGGCCATGGCCGTCGGCGTCAAGTACGGCTTCGTCACACTCGGAACCGATGCCGGCCACAACTCTACCCAGAACAACCTCACCTGGGCGCTGAACAACAACGGCGCCAAGCTGGATTACGGACACAGGGCGCTGCACAACTCTCTCGCACTGGCTCAGAGAGTCGTTGAGAAATATTACGGTCTGGCCCCTACAGCATCCTACTTCTCCGGCACGTCAGATGGCGGTCGACAGGGTCTCAAGGCTGCTGAGATGTACCCTCGCGACTATTCGGCGCTCTTGATCGGTGGCCCGGCTTGGTGGCAGAGCCATTTGCAAAGCTGGAGGATCGCGATTGGTATCACCAACCTGCCCACCGATAATGCAAAGCATATCCCAGCTGAGAAGTTCACGGTGATTGGCGATGCCGTCAGGAAGCAGTGCGACGCAGCGGACGGAGTCGAGGACAGCATCGTCAGCGACCCCGGCAACTGCACTGTCAACTATGACCTCTTCACCTGCGGTAAAGATGGTGTTGACGTAACAGCTTGCTTGTCTGCGGAGCAGGTCACCGTCGCTCAGGCAATGTACGCTGACTACAAGGTCAACGACGAAGCTGTCTTCCCTGGCGTCAGCCCCTCGTCCGAATACGGGTGGGGTTCGCTGCTGGGTGGCGGTAACGGTTCTGAGCCGAACGAGGTGGCCGTCGGCTACATGAAGTACTTCCTCTTCAATGACGCGGAGTGGGCGTGGTCAAGCTACAACGAGACTGTCCCCGCGTACGCCAACGAAACGAACCCCGGTGAACTCGACGTCAACACCTTCAACCTGACCAAGTTCTCGAGCCTCGGCGGCAAGATCATCATGTACCACGGCCTGTCGGATGCCGATGTTCCAGCCAAGGCATCGCAGGTTTACTATGACAAGGTTGTTGCGCAGTCCGGCGGCGACGTCGAGGCCGTTCGCGCTTGGTTCCGTCTCTTCTTCATCCCAGGACTGGGGCACAAGACCACAACCGTCGACGCGCCTTGGTACATCGCTGGACCCGGACAGGCGGAACAACTGCTCGGCGGTGGCAACTACTCGGTGCCGGGCTACTCTGATGCAACACACGATGCGCTTCTTGCGCTCCAGCAGTGGGTTGACGGCGGTGCCGCGCCGGACTCGCTCATCGCGACAACGTGGAAGAACGCGACTGATCCGACTACTGAGGTCCTAAGGCAGAGGCCGATTTGCCCGTATCCTTCAACTCAAAAGTTCATCAGCGGTGGTGATCAGTCGAAGGCTGAGAGTTTCACGTGCTCAGCTTAGAGGAGCAGGGAATTGATGGCATTTGGTCGAAAAGAATGGTCAAAAAGATGGTGGCAGGCGATTGTTGCCAGCCAGAAGCGGCGTTAGGAGCTAGAGTACTGCATAATAGCAATAATGTTTAATGTGATATACTGTCAGACACAGACTCCAGTTAATGCATCAACCTGATAAATGAGTATGGCTCCATAGATACACCACGTGACCCCGCGCCAGTTTGCTGACAATGCAACCAGACAGATTCGACGCGTCGCCACTTCGCAACCATCGAAGCCATGGGAGAGGAGGGGCACCATCAATCCACACCCATGTAACTTGAAACGATCACCACCGGCAACATACTTCACCAACAAGCACGGCACTGACGTAGGAGACATGCCTTTCACGGTAGTTGCTCCGGCATTTCCATACGCTTCTCTCTCAACGGTGTCCATCATTTCACGATGACGGCATCGACGACGTCCCCGCCGTCCCTCGACGAGGTGCCAGAAGATGCCCATGGGGTTCCGGAGCATGACACCCTCAAATACTCTCTCTTGGGTCCATCTCTTACAAAAGCTGGGCAGGATGCTGTCGATCAGTCCAAGGTATGTCTCCAGCCTGCCCTATGGCAGGGTGACAACCTCCCTAACAGTGGCCTACCAGGTATCCGAGATCATCTACAACGCCTCGAAAGGATCAAAATTCTTCAATCGTGAAGAAGAACGCGACAAGACCTTGACAAAGAAGATTGAACAAATCCTCGAAAAGAAATGCCACCTCGAGAAGCAAGACCTCAGTCGAGAGCTTCGCCTCGCTGACCAGCTCATCACACAGTTGGAGATGTCCCGAGATCTCACTCAATACATCGTGCACATCGACTGCGATGCATTTTATGCTGCCGTTGAACTGCTAGACCGGCCCGAACTCAAAGATATCCCCTTCGCTGTTGGCGGCGGTGTTCTGACAACGTGTAATTACGTTGCGCGAAAGTATGGATGTCGAAGTGGGATGGCTGGGTTCGTCGCCAAGAAGCTATGCCCCGAACTGGTCCTGCTCAAGCTCAACTTTGAGAAGTACACGGCAAAGGCACACGAGGTCCGCGAGATCCTAGTCGAATACGACCCTCGATTCGAGAGTGCGAGTATTGACGAGGCGTACTTGAATATTACGGAATACTGCACGAATAAGGGGATCGAGCCGGCCGAAGCCGTGGAGCAAATGCGGCGAGAGGTCCACGAGAGAACCAAGATCACAGTTTCAGCGGGCATCGCAGCAAATGCGAAGCTTGCCAAAATCTGTTCGAACATGAACAAGCCGAACGGCCAGTTTGTTCTCCCAAATGATCGAGGCGAAATCTTGCGTTTCATGGCAAAGCTTCCCCCCAGAAAGGTCAATGGCGTTGGTCGTGTGCTTGAGCGGCAGTTGGCCGAAATTGGTATCAAGACTTGCGCGGACATCTACCCTTATCGCCAATTCCTCCGACCGCTCTTTGGCGACAAGGCGTACGAATTCCTGATCAATGTTCATCTCGGCCTAGGGCGCACCAAGATCCAGCCGGCAGAGGAGTATGAGAGGAAAAGCGTCGGCACCGAGAGCACTTTCAAAGATATGTCTGATCCCCAGCAATTCAGAGAAAAGCTGAAATGGACTGCGGAGGAGTTGGAGAAGGACATGAAGAGGGCAGAAGTCAAGGGTCGCACGCTGGTTCTCAAGGTGAAGCTTCACACGTACGAGATCTTTACGCGACAAATCGTGTTACCGAGAGCCATCTGTCTAGCTGATGACCTTTATCATTTCTCCGTCCCCATCTTGGCGAAGTTGGAGGAGGAAATGCCAGGCATGATGCTGCGCCTCATGGGTTTACGATGTACGCACCTTGTCAGCACGAAGAAGCCAGATACGATGGCATTCTTTGGTTTCAGATCACGAAGACCTGATGCTGCGGCCTCGCCTGAGAAGGCTTCAAAGCCTATGCACTCTGGAGCCAGCGGTGAACTTGACGATGACGGCTGGGAGCGATGGCCCGAGGAAGAACTTTTGGGGCTTGATAATCATGAAGATTTCCAAACAGTTGACATCGAGAGCGATGGCACGAACCTCGACAGCAAACCAAGCCCAGCTAGAAGGCACGGCAAAGAGATTTTGCCGAATCCTGTGCCGGAATACGCACCCGTCAACGATGAGATGTGGGATTGCCCAATTTGCAATCGCCCACAGTTGCCGGATGAACGTCAGTTCAACGAGCACATCGACCTTTGCCTCTCAAGGCAGACCATTCGCGAAGCCGTGCACGAGGACAAGCCCTCTGCGCCGCTCTCGAGGTCAACGACGCCGGACGTGAAGAAGGTCAAGGTCGGCGGAGAGAAGAAACGCGGCAGGCCACCCGCGAGGCCGTCGAGTGACGACCCACGGCAGAAGAAGCTTTGTTTTGGATAAGCCGTAATGAGAACCCGAACTAGATGATACCCGTGATATTACATGATCTCAATAGCTTTGCTGGGCGTGGAGAAGCCGCGCTCGTCTCCCCACCCCGCCTTTGTCTCCCACGAGTCAAATCTGCTTCCCCGGACGGCGACTCATTTCTTCCTTCTGGGCAATTCTGCTATTCACACTATCCGGCATCATGACAGACTGCCATCCTTGAACACGGCAATTACGGAAAAGTTCTCGAGTCTAGGTGGCAAAAGCCGGCGAACATCTCGCTCCGGGGACCTGCAGGTTCATGTCCGCGCTAGCTAGCGCGCGATGAGGGCGCCACGGCTCCTTTAGTCTCCAACGCTTGGGGCCTTCGTGATCCAATGAAGCAAGGGACCGAAAGAGAGGCCCTATGAAACCTTCCAATCCATGCGTTGGATTCCTCACGGATCGACAGGAGTGATCTCGCTTTCCAGATAGATCCATTGTCTTTTGTGAACGCCTCTTCGCGGAAAAGCATTCAAGATCTAGGATTTCAACTTCTGTGCGTCTATCGTGGACCCTAGTTCTTTTTTTGAACGGATGAGGCTTACGTTGTTCCGAAGGCGTGCCGTTGCAATTCATCCAACCGGCCCGGAAAACGGTGCAACGCCGCGCCCTCTCACGATGGCTCACTTGCAGGATCCTCCTCTCAAAGGGGGTAATCATGGCGCCAACGTTGCAAATAAGTGAATAGTGACGCCCGACTAAAAGCAACATTACAATGAAACTTTGGGCTGGCTTGTGTAAGGGAGAGTGATCCAGAGCCACGTGTGGAGGCTCGTGGAAAGCATTCAGAGCAGCCACTTGTATCAGAATAGATCAATTCCTCTCTTCTCCTAGATTGGTCGGCCGAGGGCCCTCACTTGCGCGGTATCAGAAATCAGAAAACAGAAGCTTGGACGTTGGCTGAGAGTCTCATGAAGTCTCCCTGCGCTCGTTCCTCGACAGAGTCAGCACACATCGTGAGGTTCGGACCATGGGCCAGACTTTACAGTTTACACAGCTAGCCAGGGCGCTACCACACCAATCCGTGTCTGCAGTCAATGTCTCATTCTCGTTCAGCAGTGACAGTCTCGAGATCAAGAGAACCGTGCACCAGTGTTATCTCAGATAAAGCAATGTTTCCTCTTGACAGGTCCGATTCAGCGACTCATGAATTCTCGCACTATCCAAGGCTCTAATGAATCGCTTAGAGATCTGCGATGACGCTTCGTCGTGCGGATCCTACGGTGGTTAGCTGACTGGCTACTGGCTGAATCCCTAGGCGACATGGACCCCAAGAGGGCCACGACGACGGCCAAAAAGAACATTACCCATCATGGCTCAGCTCTACGAGAGCCCGGCTCCTAGTTAGCGTCCGGAAGAGAGACGTCCCTTGACACTAGCGCCAGCGACCTGCTTTTGCACGCAAAAGCTTATGCAACTGACGATCCACACTGGAAGCCATCGTCTTGAACCGCGACTATTGTTTGCACCCTCCCACTCCTACCGAGGGCGGCGCCTGTGATGGGATGCAGCCGCGCTCCCTTGCGCTGCAGTCTCACTTCAACGGCCCCCAGCTCGGGCCATGAAGGCTGGCCATTTCCTTTCAGACTATCAACTGACAGGATTTGGCGTTCAACTCGTCTTCAAATTCTCCCTGCATTGAAAAGGACTCTCGAGATGTGATCGACATCGAGGGCCAGCGCTATTGTTGACGTAAACAGGGATCTGCACGGCGGTGCGCCGGCCTCACCACCGCGTTTGGCTTACCTCGAAAAAGCACGATGGGTACGCCCTGGCATCGTCTTCTAAGGTGGTTTCTGGCTGGTGAATCCTGGGTGACTGGGAAAGCACTTTCGCATTCCTTGAGGAACCATGTTTGCCAGCCCCATCTGCATTCCAGCATATAACCAAGACCATCCTCGGATTTCGAACATGCAGAATACCTAGCTCTATTCCCTACGCTCCTTTTCTGCTCGCCAGACGGCAGCTTCGCACATTACTATCAGATCTTGAGTCAACGACATAGAGATCAGTCATCATGGAGTCAAGTGCAGAGGCCACGCCTACACCAACTGCCGCAGCAGCGGCGCCTGCGTTCAACACTGCGCCAGTTGCGGTTTTCTGGCTTGCTTGGGGTGGATTTTGGACAGTGCTTTTGCTCTGCGGTATGGCATTTCTCTTTGTCAACCGCAAAATGCCTTTTCTAAGGATCCGCGGTCTGGCTTTGTCGTTTGGCGCTGTCACTATGCTCCACCTTTACTGGCTTTCGGTGCAGATCGGGCTTGCCATCGGCCAGTTCGTCCCCGATGGCGCCGAGTTTTGGGTGATGGGCCTCTACCTCCCCTTCGGCATTGCTCTTTTCCACGCTTCCAACAGCCGGTTCCTCCACATCGCCAAGGCGCAGCGGAAATATGCAGATAAGCCACTCACACAGTCCAACTCACAGTTGGACACCAGCAACGGACCGGACAAGACTCTGACGGGGAAGTTCCGGAAGCTCGATTACACCACCAAGATGCTAGCCGTCGTGTGCACGGGCATGCTTGTGCAAGTGAGTTGATGCAGGATCAGATGGCGTTGCACGTTTGACAGTTGACACATGGCTGACGTGCTTCACCATCAGCTTCTTCTAACAGTGGTTATGTATCTCGTCTCACGCAAATACCACCCGTCGTTTGGTGTCCCTGGCACTGAAGTGACGGGGACTCCAGCGCAGCAAAAAGTTGAGATGGGTAGAGGATGGGAATGGTGGCCTTCTGTATTTTGGCAATTCCTTTGGGCTTGGCTGGTCGCACCTGTGATTCTCTGGAAATCACGTGGAATCCAGGACACACAAGGGTGGCGTCTGCAGACCATTGCATGCTCTATCGCAAGGTAAGTTGAAATCCAGGTTAGCGCTTTGCCGCTTCTCCATGACAATTCCCCCGAGCCAACACTAATGAGTTCAGCCTTCACGCTACCCCTATGTGGCTTGTCGCCTTGTACGTCCCAGCGATGGCGCCCGTCAATGCCTACTTTATCCCCCCGCAGTGGTAAGTTATATGAAGCACGCATAGACACTTTCTTCTTCTCGGGCTTGATGTTGACTTGCTGCTAGGATCTGCCTCTCCATCACCTTCATTGAAATCTTTGCAATCTTCATTCCCTGCTGGCAAGTCGTCAAACATAGGACTCTCAGACAGGAAACCCTCGAGTCCATCGCTGTTTGGGAAGCCAAGAACAAGGCACGCGCCGGGAGAGACTCCGTCATCACCGGATCGACAAAGGTCGGCAGCCAAGCTTCCGTCACTTGGAAATCGCTTGCACAGCTCGAAAAGGACACCAGTCAAGCAGAAAGTGTCTACACGATGGGTGCCCTCGAGTACGTCTTGGACAAGAACCCCGAGCCCCTCCGCAAGTTCTCTGCCCTCAGAGACTTCTCCGGCGAGAACATTGCCTTTCTGTCGGCCGTTGCCGAATGGAAGTCATCAATCCCTCAGAGCCCCGGGTCATCACATCGATCAGTCGAGATCTCACGGGAACGTTTCAACCGTGCCCTGCGCATCTACACCGAGTTCATCAGCCCTTACCACGCCGAGTTCCAGATCAACATCGCATCACAGGACTTGAAGCGGTTAGAAGGCGTCTTCGAAGGCGCAGCCAGAATACTATACGGCGACCGAACGGAACGCTTTAGCGACCCTGTGGTGCCATTCGAGGATAATAGCTGGGGTGGACCTGAGTCAACAGCGGGTGGCTCTGAGATGAGTTGCGTATCACGAGATGGCAGCGGTGACCCCATTGCGGACCGGGTGCAGTACTGGGGCGAGATCCCCGAGGCTTTCAACGCTGCTGTCTTTGACGATGCGGAGTCGAGCATCAAGTACCTTGTTCTCACCAATACTTGGCCTAAGTTCGTCAAGGAGAGGAGGTACTCGCTAGACTCCGAGGACTCTGGGGAGACAGTTGAGACATTCCAGTCATCGTCAACATTGTCGTCACGGGTCAAGAAGTACTTCCGCACCATGAAGATCGTGGTATGACCTTAGAAGATACGAGGCAGGGCACGGCATTGGTTGTTTTCCACTTTCCTTTTTTCTACGATGATATCCCCAGTCTGCATGAGTTTCCTATACCAATTTGTAATTTACCATCGCCACAAAAGCCAACATCAATGCCAAAGTCACTGCCATGCACCTTGTCTCCCATCGAAAGACGAATGCAGCGTGTTGTGGAATCTGAGACAGAATCGAGATCCATCCATGTGTGCTCTCTATCTCCGTGACCTTACAGCTTTCGAGTTTCAATCATCAAGCCAAACTCCGTCGAAGTGCACCTTCAGTGCCTTTGTCCTCTTCCATGCTGTGACCTACTCGTGCGCAGCCATGTGGCGAACGTTTAGACCCGAGATCGCCACGCCACCGGCCGGGGCACGAACAAAGGTGAAGCGGGCGTTGGAGGTAGTCGACTTCGGCATGTCGCAGACACGTGGACAGAATCAGTGACGATCTCGTCGCTGCGGGAGATGCCGTTGTGAATGGAGGCCGAAGAATCGTGGTGGAAGTGTTCAATCTATTAGGATCGGAGGCACCAAGGTTAGCGGATTGTGGAAAACAATCGAATCTGGATGTCTATCGGTATCGCTTTTCCCGTGCGTGTCTGCCAAGTGGACTGGCTTGAAGACTTTAGACTTAGAACAAGGTTTGCATCGTTGCCTAGATATGTCTCACGTCAAGATAGCACAGATGCGGACTTTTCCCTTCGACGCTTCCTACCTTAGTTATGGCCCTTCTTCCATAACGGCATCTTGAAAGTTCCGCCATTGGAATCTTGCTCTTTCGTGCGTAACGTCATGGACGTAATTCCGCTTCCGGTCATTCAGAGTTTGTGCGACTGTAACACCAACTCTAAAAGTCTCGGACTCGCCGTGTGTAACTATACTCATGGTTCACGGTATCTATGATTTGATTCAAGCTTTAGTACCGTTCCCGGATTGAAGGGCATAGAGGCTCTTCGATTTCTGGCTTCCTTCAAGCGGATGGGAAGTATGTCCGGAGCGGGTTGGCACATGTTGCCGACGGTCCGCCGGGCGGCTGTCGTCCGCGGTCCCGTTGCGGCCGGGGAATTGCTCAACTTGCAACATGGACGGTTGGGGTGATTACATATCCCACCTCATGCTTTGAGTTTTTAAGTTCGAGGCTGTCCGGAAGAAAATTCGGAGCTCTGTGGATGATCAACGGGTTGATCGGGGGCCACATGGTTTGGAGTTATGGCAGAAACGGGTCGGGCTTGCGTAAGTATCTTTTTCTTTGGAAACGTATTGATGGACTTTTAGGTAGAAACAGCTGCACAGCCTGACCGTGATTACACTGATCAGCATAAATCGCTGCATGTGAACTATTAGAAGTGTAGTTTATGAGTACCTTGAATGAAATTTAGTCGTTTGCTATCCAGTGAACTCAGAGTGATTGGACAAGCTCTTAGAGCCCATCTTCAGCGCATCACAACATCAAGGACGCCCGCGGCGATCTAGGGTCTTCGTACTCCATACAGATCATCCAATCGCCGGAAAGACGAAATAATAAGACAAGGATGGAAACCACCCAAACGGGAATCTCGCATGACACTCGAAACGTCCCCCTCGTGCTCCTCCCGGCCGTCGTCGCCATCACCGGGGGCCGGTGAGGCCACGAGTGGATACCCCGCCAGCGCCGAGACCAAATCGGGTGCCGCGGCGACCGCTGTGCCGCTATTCTGCAGCGTTAGTGCTCACTCCCGTCCCCGTTCCTCAGCAGGGAAGGCAGCGCCAAGAGCATCAACTTTCATCCGAAGCTTACCTTAGTACCTCAGTGGCATATTCCGCGCGTCCTCATGCACGTCAACTTTGGAGATACAAAACACTCGCGATGCGATGTTGTTGAAGACGTCTGTTGTGCCGCTGAGTTGTCAACTCATTCCCAATACCTCATCTGCACAGCGTAAAGCAGACTACCTATCGCAGAAGTATCTCTAATCAACGACATGGCGGGACTCGCCGTATATGCGGCCATCGTCGCTGCTATTGCCATCTCTATTCGCATCTTCTACCTTCGACTCTTGCCCAGACCGATATCAGGGGGACCTCCATACAACCTCGATTCTTCCAAACGAATCCTCGGAGATGCGCCATACTTCATCGAACTCGAGAATGCGGGCGAATACTGGCTCAAGTTTTTCACGCAGCTGCTCACGAAGCACAACACCCCAATTGCCCAATTCTTCCCTGGACCTTTCGACAGGACCCATATCGTCATTGCTGATTATCGCGAGGCTCGCGACTTGATGTCGAAGCGGGGCAAGGATCTCGGTCGTGGGGTTACCAACGACATAACATGGAACAGCGTGATTCCGGGCCACTTCATCTCCATGGAAGATTCGCATCCTTCTTTCAAGGACACCAAATTCCTGACTAAAGATCTCATGACACCAAGCTTCTTACATGGGGTACGATAGCGCTCGTAATCAAAAACCTTGAACTTGTGGTGTGTAATGCTGACAGAATGCAGGTGTCGGCACCAGCTTCACATAAAATGGTTCACAAATTCATAGAGCTGTGGAAAACTAAAGCCGCCATCGCTAATGGCCGGCCGTTCGAGGCCGATGCTGATCTCGAGGCTTTTACCTACGACATCATGAACGCTGCGGCTTTTGGCACCTCTGTGGAAGATAGCTACACTAATGAGAGACTCGTGTTGCTTCCCTCGCAAAACGGATCCGAAGCGCCCAAGTCTGATGCCGCACAAATTGCAGAGTTCCCGAAGAACTTCCCGCCACATCTCCTATTCGCCCTGAACACTCTCAACGAGAGAATTAACGGTGCCTTCCGCGCACTCATCCCCAAGCTCTTCTTTCTCTACGACAACAATCGACCGACTATCCGTCGGGCATTTGGCTTGAAGAAAAGCATTCTCCAGTCTCACATCGACCGCTCCGTCGCGAAATTGTCCAGCAGTAATAGCTCAAAGGAGGAATTTGCCTCGGCAGTGGACTATATCGTCTCGCGTGAGATTTCAGCGGCAAATGCCGCAGGCCGAGAGCCAGTCTTCAACTCGGCAAGGATCCACGATATGATCTGGGGCTACCTCGTCGGCGGGCAGGATTCTACGCACAGTACGCTCTGCTTCACGGTCAAATACCTAGGCATTCACCAGGACATTCAGTCCAAGCTACGAGAGGCGTTGCGGCTTGCATACCCAGATTCAGTTGCAGAGAAGCGGGAGCCTACAGTCGACGAGATTACCAAGACTCACGTCCACTACCTCGATGCATTCATTGAAGAGACTCTGCGTCTGAGCAGCCCCGCTGGAGCCATAATGAAGGAGACGCTCGTCGACATGGACATGTTTGGGTATCGCATACCCAAGGGAACACCGCTTGTCTTTCTCTTGGCGGGGCCAACGGTCTCAGAAGCCGGTGCGAAAGTCGACGAGGCGAAGCGTAGCGAAACATCGCAAAAGGTCGCCAATGAGGGTGTCGGAGATTGGGCGCTGACCGAATACCCTCCAGAAGAACTTCACCCAGAACGCTGGTTACAGCCTGACGAGAAGGGCGAAATCGTGTTCAACAACAGAGCTGGCCCGTTTATGAGTTTCAGTTACGGTCCGCGAGGATGCTGGGGCAAGAGACTGGCGTACATGGAGTTGAAGCTGATTATTACACTCTTGGTTTGGAACCTGGACTTTATGGGGTTGCCTGCTGGGTTAGAGGATGATGCGCTTCTTGAGGGCATATTCACGAAGCCCAAGTCATGTTTGGTGAAACTAGGATTATGAACATCACCCCGATTGGGGAGAGGAGCTCTACCTTGGGGAGAAATGTGAAGAGGTGCACTCCAGCATCTAGCGTGTCTGAGGGCTGAGGACCTTCAGGGAGTGACCAGTTGCTGATGATGGAGTTTAGCTTGCTGCTATTAAAGGACGTAGCTGGAGCAGTTGCATGCTGATAATGCGCAAGTTCGATATTATGGGACTATGATAGCTATAATCCTCTAGTGACGTTGCTGCACGTGCAACATCATCTGGGCAGACTATCTTTGTTAACATGTAATTCCTGCGAAGCTTCTTGGACCATTGTTAGAGCTGTGTTCAATACACATCCTTTCATGCCATGCTGTCACTTGACTCCGGATTGTCTCCAAAGATTCCATCAAATTTGGTACATTCGTAGCCGCTCAAATAGTAGATGCCGTGCCAAATGCAATCAACTCCTACCAGTGACTCTAAGTCATACTGTCAATTCCTCTGCAGATCGGGGGCTGCAGATTCGGTCTGCATGCCTCGAGAAACATAATGCTCATCCCTGTCTTGGAAAGGCTTCTCCGGTAATAATAGACCAACAAATTCCCGCCTATGTTCTCTCTACGTTGAGTACCTTAGGTACTCTTACCATTGAGTTCTTTCATTTCGGCGAATAGCCTGTCAATGTCCCCAAGCTGCACGTCGTCGAAATCTTCAAACGCTGCACCGATGGCATAGAGCAGTACGCCGTTTCCCCCTAGCACATTTTCGCTCGTGCTTCGTTGACGAACACAGTCAAAACCCACATGGCCAGAGGACTGGAGATTGGTTTCGCCAGTCTCGCTGGAGACACTCGTGGCAGTACCCTCTTCACCCGCGGAAATCGGGCCCCCAGTGTCTTCCGCTGCCAAATTGGGCTCGTTAGCCGGACGGCAGCAATAGCAGGTAAGCCGGACCAATACTTACAGCGCGAGTCGGGTTCGATATCATGACCAGGAAAAAGGAATTCCTCTATGTCCGAATTGCATTTGCTACGTTCATCGGGACGTATGTCAGATGATCTGGAGCGCTTCTTGTTGAGTCCGCTGAGAATCTCAACGATGCGCTTCCATTGCTCGTTTCGCAGTCGATACAGGGGATGATCATTCAAAAAGTCTGTTGTGCCTGCAGCTTGATAAAGTTGCAGTAGGTCGGCTTTGTCCCCCATATGCTGCTTGTGGATGGCATCTTGATCGTCTTTGTGGACATGAAACCGCCAAAAGTGTAACCTGCCATTCGAGATCAGTTCCTATGGTTTGGATTCCAATAAGCTAAAGCGGATGAGGATTGCCCACTTTAAGCCTGAAGGATACTTGAAGTTTGTGATTTGACAGCTGGTCAGTGTTTCCAAGCCGGACTTCCCAAAATACGGGCATTTCAAATGGCCCGTACTGGCGCCGTGTCTTGCTTGACTCTCGGAGGTCACCTCAGTTGGGGCAGTCGTTTGGGATTGCCGAGAAGTGCCGCTGGATTCCGTTTGTGTGCTGGATTGCGCCGTAGAGAAGCTGCAGCGGGGGTCACGACGAGGATTGGGAGGCTTGTGAGGGTGAGGGTGCCCGGGCTGAATTCGAGACTACATTATGTTATTGGTACGCTCCCTGATATAAATCGGCTCGCCAAACTTACGTCCAGGTCTTCCAAAGTCTTTTTTAACTCCGTTATGTGATCGGCCCCTCTATTCTCCCCAGTGGCGCGAAACCCCTCATGATTGGCGTTCGAGGGCCCAGAGCCTTCTATCGAGGGCGATAGCTGGGGCTGGATACTTGCATTAGTTCTGGCTCCAGGTACTAAGTGATGGGCAGACCCTGTATCGAGAATCCCGATTCCATGGGAAGGGGTCGCAGCGAGCGGGAGTACCGCAAGCTTCGACGTGAATGTGGAGAAAGAAGGGTTGACGGGCAGGGGAAGCTTGTGTTGCAAGAGATGCAAAGCCAAGAAGGAAACAAGGAGGCATCTGAAAGGCATCCAACAAACTCACAGGATCCATGCTACCTTGCCCACGATGTCCGGCAGACATGTTGCAACTCAAATTCGACTGTGCGCGGCCAGTGGCATGGTTCGCCGAACGTGTTCAATATTTGGGTATATAATGGAAGAAAAGGGAGGGATGAATTTGGCTTGGACCATTGATGGGGGCGCGGGAAGAGAGAGATCTTAGCAGGCTGAGTTGCTGGCGACTCTCCAGCAGTTCGGTGCTTTGGGGGTGGTGCGGGGGACGTTATCAGCCCGTTGGGTGGTGGCTTGACGTTCCTTGGCAGCACTTTTTTCTATACGAACATTTCATCAGTAAGAATCCAGTCAAGGTACAGATATCTCCACGAGCTTTCCCCTGCGCAAGCTGCTCTACTCCAGAGCTAGCCACCCCGTACCGGAGCAGCGCCTTTACCGGAGCGTATTCTGTACCTTGCATAAGGTAAGGTATGGCACCTTGAGCCGCTGTCACCATTGGCCGTGGACAAACAGTTGGTTGGGGCTAGCTAAGGCGACCTCATCCCATTGCTCGTGGAGAAATTCAAGTTGGGGGCTAATTAGTGAGCAGAGGATGCTGGCCGACGTCATAGGCAAAGCTCTGTGATGCGATCTTTGCACCGCCTCTCTACAACCACAACAACTCAAAGACTTTGCGCTCCACCTCGACTTTGGAGTTATTCTCTGCTCTGACCGAGCTACGGCTATGAGAAAAGTGAGTACGTACGTATGGCTTGAGCGTCTTCAGGGCCTCCGACATAGGGTATGGCACAGCACCACAATCCCAGCGGTGTCCGGCTCTCTAGCGTACACTACTCCGATGCAAGCCGTTGCAAAACCGACTGGAGAGTCGCGAATTCAACAACGCGCACTGGCGCAGGACTTGTCAATAACACCCTAGGAACTCACCGATCCTGGGTCTTGGCTTTTGTTCATTATTTGGTACTACCATGAGGCTCAACACCGAATTTCCCAACTTCACGGGATCGTCACCGGCAATGTCCGCCAGTATGATGGCTCTTGCTCACGCGCAACACCTCCTTTGGTCCTCTGAACGTAAGTTGTTGGCGCTCGCGGTGGACATAACGGCGGTCCTAGGAACACTTGTCGGCCTAGCTCAAAACACTGCTTGTGCTGGACTTGATGCGCGCCTTTGCGCTCTCGCAATCTTTCTACACGATTTGATTCCATCGTGACGTATGTCACAGTTACAAATCATGTCATTCCCGGTGTCGGTGTCATGTGGTGGTTTCCTGCCCAGAATCACGGACTTATTCGTGCTGTCAAGACTCGTTGTCCTCGATTCTGTAGATATGTCTACGCAACCGACACCGTGGACTTTTCCACACATCTACGTAGATGTCGTAATGATTTCCTCGGTAAGTTTGCTCCAACTACCGGCTGACGAATTGTTATAAAGTCTCCAATGCCACTCCTGGAGGGCTTTGATCGAACAAATCAACTACACACCAGACCAAACACCAAATACAACCTACTTTGCTCATCAAGAACCACCAAATATCTCTAACCATGGCAACAAAATCCTGCCTCCTCCTCACCAAATCCTCCGTTTCTACACGCCCTGGCGGCACAATCCTGGCAGCGGCCGGCTACGAAGATGCGCGAGGGATCGTGGAAGCTATAGAAGGCACACTTGAGGCGAACACCAGCAAAGTCAAACACTTCCTCAAGACCAACGTATTCTGTCTCAAGCCAACTGTGTCGATCGCCACACTTCGCCCAGTGAGCTCTTGCTTGTCCCCATCAGAGTCTATTACCTTTACAGTTACTAACAACTAGCAGATCGAAGTTCCCGACCTCATGGCACTTCCTCCCTGCAAAGCCTTGATCCGACACTTCGCTCTCGATGAAGCCTTTACTGAGGCGGTAAACAAGCCTCAGTCGATGGATCAGGGGTTCTACACACACATGTTTGATCTCTATGATGATGTCTTTGTGGACATCGACCAGCAGGAGGATCGCATCGTTCTACCCCAGCACGCGCTGCTCATTGAATACAAGATGTCACCCAAAGCTAAGAAAGTCATTGGGGGGCTGGCTTCGGTGATGGGAGGCTTGATTGTCATTGCAGTCAAAGCCGGGGAGGGATCGCTCAACTGAAGGCACGTCGTTCGTACATCGCAGGGTTCATGATAAAGGACAC